GAAAAATGTTAAAAATGTTTTAAGAAAGTAAAAATTATTAACAATTCATTAAATAATTTACATGTTACATGCAATAACTGACTGACTTTGCTACATTTATAATATTTTTTCTTTGTGACTATAATGCAGTAAAGGCTACATGTATTTTTTGCATATTCTGATCTATTTTTGGTACTTTTCATAGAGAGCTGTGTGTAATATGTAAGTAACATTCTTTGTGCAATTAACAATATAATAAATTTTATTTTTTAATACATTTTAAATTTTATTTTTTCATACATTTTAATATTATCTTGAAAATTAGCATGGATCTGGAGGCATGCTGCTTTAACAGAAAACAACATGTGTTTTGACATAAATCAATATATGTTGTACTTAAATACTAGGATTAACTTGCACTTCAATTTTGTGCGTCATTGCCAATTATCAAGTCCTAATAAACGTGTCTAGCTCTTACCTTACCCAGTACAAGCTGTAATAACTCATCAACACTTACAAGTGGACCGTGATACATGTAACTTTCTCCATGTACTATGGACATCAGCAGTGACCTTTATCTAGATATGAGCTGCATCATGACAAAACCAACATAATGGGTTTGCGACCAGCATGGATCCAGACCAGCCTGCTCATCTGCGCAGTCTGATCAGGATCCATGCTTTTCGCTATCAGTTTCTCTACTTGTTATAGGGTTTGTAAGCGAACAGCATGGATCCTGATCAGTCTGCGCGGATGCGCAGGCTGGTCTGGATCCATGCTGGTCGCAAACCCATTATGTTGGTTTTGTCATGACGCGGCTCATATACTATGGACATCAGCAGTGACCTTTATCTAAATATTTATTTCATATTGAACAACTATGTACATAGGTACTTTTCCTTTTCTACAATACAAAAATCTGGAAAAAGCGTCAACAATCATATCTTTTTAGCATAGTTATTGTCTTGTCTTGCTTATTCACTACATGTAAATCTTTCCAAAGACTATCATGGCATTTCAAGCTATTAATTTCATTCTTCAATAACACTTTTGCTGCTAAATTTCTGCAATTGACTTTTCCTTTTATTTTGGGACAAACCATTATTAGTTTCAGGGATTTCACTAGCAAAATACTAAATCTTTAGCAGTAGAAGCAACTTTCATGACATGTAACTTTACCCTACTAAATTTATATACAAGATTTGTCCTCCCTTCAACTTGGAATTGTCTACTTTTTATTTACGGGATTTCAACATTAAAGTGTTAAAATTTTGCAGCCAGCATTAGTCGGTCTATTGCTGGCCTAGCTACTTTATCATGTGTCTCAAGGCCGTTCATTGATGCTATAAACACTTCGATGGTTAAGCTTCTTTTTTTAGATAAAGGAAAACTTTTAAATGTGTACCATTAAAACACTCGTCCAAAAACCTTTACAGGTTTGTCTGTATCATATAAACACTCATCCTAAAACCTTTACAGGTCTGCCTGTATCATGTAAACACTAATCCAAAAACCTTCAACTGTCACAGGTTTGCCTGTATCATATAAATATTTTAAGATTATGACTCTGCCAAAAATGTTCACAGGTGTTCCTGTATCATAAATTTTTTTAAAAATTGCAATTCTTTCAGAAACAATAAAAGATTTGCCTGTATCTAAAAAATCACTCCTAGATTGCAATTCTTCCAAAAATGTTCAGAGATTTGCCCCCATCTTAAAAATCATTCAAATTTGCAATTTTTCCAAAAACATGCACAGGTTTGCCTGTATCATAAAAAAAAAATTCAAAGATCGAGACTCTTCCTAAAAAAAAAGAAAAGTTTCTTACATACAAATTCAATTCATGATTTACATATTTACTGAACGTAATGTCTTAACTGAGAATTAAATCAAGCCTCAAAGATCGAGATTCATTTCAATAATTACTGCTTGTCACACATTGTTTTTACCGTTTGACAGCCGTTGCATGTTGTCTGGCGTAGACTTCAAACAAAACGCGTATTATCTCGTCACTTGAAATAATTAAATACAATTATTATGTCCCCGAGAATAATAATTACTTAAAGCTCATTTCAGATCCAGTTTTTTTTTTCCCTTACATTTTTTTTTATCATATATCAAGTTAATGAAAAATAGTCGGCTTAAAGGGGCATGCTTTATTTTTTATAACCCCATGGTTTATTAGTAATATACCATGGTTTATTAGAAATAAAACATGTTAACTCTAAATTTTCACATTGAATAGGAACTTGAACAGGACTTAAAATCTAAATACAAATGTACACACATTGTGTGAATATGTTTTGAGTCAAGTCTGAAATAAAACAGCTGATATAATTTCTTGTGTCATTGTCTATCTCAGTTAAGAAGGTATAGATCATACAGAATATATTTAAATTTTTGTTTGTATATAAAAGTCAAATTTTGTTATATATATCTACATTTATTTTATTCATAAATTTTTTTTTTTAATATAACTGTTCTTTTTTTCTTTGTTGTTAAATCAGTGGGCCTGACTGAAACTAAGTATACATGTTACCTTCGCTACATAAAGATTTTACTATTATTATCATTTGTTGGTGGTATGGACTTTTTTGGAGGTGAAAAGGTTTTTTAAGTCACACAGACAATGTTTATGTCATAGACCAACTTTCAAGCTTTTACAGGTGGTGAAGGATGGAAGATGCCCCTTCTAAAACACATAAAGAACATCCTTGCAGGTACCCCTTAAGGGCCTTTACATATTTAATTTACCCTTTGTACCTATCTTAACTTATATTTTTTCTTATAACTAATAACTACCTTTTGATAATTTATGTAAAATATTGTCAATTATACATTGTTTAAACTTTGTCCAACTGTGATGGGGTTTTATTTTTTTTCTCTGAACATGACTGTGACAGAGGCTTATATTTAACTTGATCTTGTAGCACTGGACAAAGATGCAGCAATAAGCTGGCGAAAATGTTTTATATCACAACTATTGAACTTCAGCATTTGCACCATTGACTTATAATGTTATAATTGAAATCTTTATTGGCTCCAATCTTATCAAGTCCATGTTTCCATTTCCTAGTCAAAAAAAATGCATATTGTACTCCTTTTCATTTCCGATTCTTTTTGGTTTGGTTGGATTTTAACTAACGGCCAACTGAGTAGGACCATTGTCGTTCCATAAGCTAGCTGAATAGCTTCTTCACATGAAAGAATCTGAAGTCCCTGTTCGGATTCGAACCCAAAGGTGTGAGGGTCAAGTCAACATCCTTTTTTCCTATCCATACTTTGTTAATTTCCTAGAAACAAAACTTTCTTGAAAAATTTTATTTTATTGTATTTTTATCTGACATCCATTTTAAAACATTTTTGTTCATATCACCAAACCAGCTTTCCTGGATAACTAACCAACCAGTAATTAATTACCAAATTGTTTGAAAGTGACTGATTATTAATCCCACCAGATTTCCTAAATCAGCTGTGAGAGACAAATGACCATTTGGACTAAATGTTCATGATAAGTTGTTGCGTAGAAATTCGCATCGCCCAAGTATTGAACTACAGACCCCTGGATCACAAATGTGATACATTCCCAATTGAGCCAAGTCCACCAGCTTTCATTTCTTATGAATTAATACTTATGTAACACCTTTATTTGAGAAGAATATCTTTGGTTGTCCTCAAAATAGATATACACTGTACTGCTCTTTGCACTTATTGTTCTACAAAACGCAACTTTTTAAGCAAGACCATAAAACTTTGAAATTATTTTATGCAAAACCAAATATACAGAACAAGGACAAAATAAATGAAGTTGTTGACAACATAATATCATTCAAATGGGTGTTTAGTCACTGTTCATTAGCTTTACCTTTTAAAGTGTTGGACAAAGAGAGATAGCTTGACATCATATATACTAGAGCATATATACTTCCAAGAGTATTCTCCCTTGGAAAAAAAATTCAGTAAAACTGTATTCAAATTTTTTATTCATAAAATTTTTCTTTTAATTTTCATACAAAAATAACAATATTTCAACAAATAACATATATCACACATAAAGGTAATCAATATAAATTATAAGCACTCAAATCAATAATCACAAATTTTAACAATTATTGCACAAAAAAAATCTTTGTCAGTGATTTCAGTAACAAAATCTGATCATTTCCCATTGTAATTTATACCCAGAGTTAAACAAAGTTTTAGTCTTAGATCTAAACACAATTTATGACCTTTCAAATTTTTCAGTTCACTACTTCGTTTTGGTTAGATAAGGTCCTGCATGAAACACTGTGAACAGCTTAAAATAACTCATAATAATACAATTTTTCTTTTTTAATAAAAATGACATTTGAAAATTTTTATCAGTCACACTTTAAATTTCAATCGTATCAGGTTAAGTCAGCAAAAAAGAAAGAAGCTTAACTGATTTACAGCCCTGGAGGTTGTGAGGTAAAAACCTGGATACTGTAGCGTTTTTGTTGTTTTTTTCCATATTAATTTTAATGGACATTCTATCCATATCAACTACTTTTTCCCTTTGACTCAAATTTTACATAAAGATATGCCAGTTAAACTGGTGATGATATCTTAAACATGAACACTTTGTTGCAGCCGAGAAAACAGATTTTTGATTCATGAAAAATTTTTTTCTTTAAGGAAAATTCAATTTTATATGGACAGGACACTTTTGAATGGTTTAATAAGCTGTCACTGTAAACTGATAGCATCAACTCTATTCGAGAATCATATGCATTTATCTTCCTATTAAACCTTCAACAATCAAAGTATGGCATATAAGCCATTTTCTATAAATTTCTCCTCAATAACAGCCAAATGTTCAGTTAAATGATGACTTTGATTTAACACAAATGGTGGCCATTTCAAATGTATTCACTTATTTTCGGTGGTCCCTATGTCAATCCTGTAACCATGTGCCTGCCAGAGTCAGACACCTTCAGGAATTTCAAAATGGATTCCATATAAGACAAACACTATCATGGCCCATTGGACACACCTCTTCCTGTCTTAACCACTCCTTCATATGAAAACCATGTGACTATCACATGTCCTCATGAATTTCAAAATGGATTCCATTTAAGACAGAAACACCCACAGCCTGTTGGACACACCTCTTCCTGTCTAAACCACTCCTTCATATGAGCAGCATGGCCACCATGTCCACAGTTGAGACAAAAATTCGAGGTCCCTGAAAGAAGCAAAACCTGTTGAATAACATAATCACTTTTAATTTAATATTCAGTTTATTTCACATCATTTGTTATCAAGTTCTTTTATTATGTTTGTTTAAAGAAGTATGAGGGAATCATGTTTCTTCAAAACTTGTGCCAACCAAAATGTCTATGATATGTAATTTTTTGTACTACTAGCAATATGGTTTTTCTTAATCATAATTCCTCTACTTGTATCATAGTTAGAAGACCTTTCTATTAAAAAAGTGTCAGATATAAATCGTATGCACTGTCTGTAGGGTATATAAATAGAGCATGATTGTTGATTAACTCATTTTTTCTGGAGTTTACTTACTGTGACAACAGGGAAAGTGGTAACAATTAAAAAGTCATATTCAGATGCTCGTACATTGGTTGCTTTTTTTTGGGGGTTTCATATTGTGACAACAGGAAACATTTTTTTTTTTATTTTTGCTTATTACAGTCAGGACTCAATACATCGGAATCCATTATACTGACAAATTCAAATAACGACAGTGAGATAGTGGGAACCAATTTTTTTCAGCGTTATTATAATCCTTTATAACGGAAGATTCGTATTCCGACTCCGACACAATTAAATTGGAAACCAAACGTGTTATTTTCTATACAATAAGTACCCGTTAAACTGACACCTGGTCAGTCAAGAGTGCATATCATTGAGCCGTGAGCAAAAACCGCAAGGTGTTAAAACAGGTATTGTAGCTTGGTCAGTTGATTGTTACACCTTATTACAATACCAACATGTTGTTGTCAGCTGAATTTTGTTACACTTGCCAACTTGTGACTTTTTTTTATTAAAATAATGGCAGAACCTCCAGCTAAGCGTCAACGGACTAATTTAACTTTTGAACAAAAAACGAAATCATTTCATATAAAGAAAGTAAAAAGGATGTTACACAAAGTGATATTAGTGTTCATTTTTCTAATGTATAGAACATTAAAAAAAGGAGATCGACAGTGAGTGACATTTTAAAAAACAAAGAGACAAAAACTAACCCTCGAAAATCAAAACGTGTGCGTCATCGAGGTATAATGAACATAATGTTCAGATACCAGTGAATAAGCATATCATTACATGATGAATGATGAATTCAATATACTGACATATCCTTTGGGAACCAACAGTGTCGTTGTAATGAGTCATGACTGTATACCAAAGAGAAAGAACATGTAATCTGATTATACTCAAGCTATGCCCCGTCGTACATTTCAGATAGCCTCACGTTTCGATGATCTTTCTATTACATGTACTTTCTTGAGAATGCCATCATGCTTTATCTTTTGTTTGTTTATATAGGATGACTTTTAAGTTAATATTAACATTCAAAATTCTAATATGAATCTCTTTATTACTGAGAAAGGCAGAGTCAGGACGTGGAAGTAGATCAACTTTTTCTATGAAAGGTAGCTAAATACCCTTTTTTATGAGAAAAATTCTGTTTTCATATCCCAATGCGAACCAAAGACTGTAACAACAGGTGAATCTGGCAACCTAATCAACTGACTTTTTTTACATAAAAGAAGAATGAAAATTTAAGCTAGTGAACAGAATTTTCTTACACTTTGCAAGTATAAACAAATTTATGGGGAAAATTAGGGATTATCACACTACTTTTTGAGATACCTGATTTTGAAGTAAGCTTGCTTGTTTTAGGCAAAATTAAATACATTGTAACATTCTGTTTAGAACTTAAGTTCACATTTTCCTTCTCTGTCTATGTAAAAAAAAAAATGAAGAAACTTAAGGAAATGTCTTTAACCACTAATACTGAATTGATTTACAACAAAATAGTGTTTAAAACTAGAATAAACAACCAAAACTATTTCTGTATTTCATGGAAACTGACCTTTGACCCCTGTATGACAAATGACACATTGGAATGCCTTCATTTTGCATGTGCCACACTTGACCCCTCTGACATCAGCCTTACAATAGTGACACTGTACCCCAAACTCTGCAAAAAATACATGTTAATATAATACCGCAATGTTTTTTTTATTTTAATTACTACTAGATATTTATCAAATTTTTATTTTGGAGAAGAAATCTAGAAATGTACCAAGAATATTATCATTTTTAGCTTCACTGTGTGCAGAGGACATCAAAGTTTAAAACAAAACAGATCAACATACTGAATTTGTGTAATAGTCTTGTTTTTCTGTTGAATTTGGATAAAACAGTTAAAAATTATGCTTAATACATCTTGTCACCTTAGTGCAGTAACTTGTTCTATGAGTTAACCCATTATTGCACTAAGTATACAATGTATTTGATACATAAACTATAAAGAAATCTAACAAAAACATAAATAGGACTTTTAAAAAATATTTTCGAAGAATTATTTGTCATTTCTATAAATTTAAACGGTTTATAACCATGAATCTGCTAGACCAAGAGGTGATCTGCCTTTGCCACCAGTATAGAGCCAGACCAGACTGCATGGTAACAGATCATCCTGCACTACCATGCAGTCTGGGACCAAGGTCTATACTGGTTGGTAGCTTCACTTTTGAATTTTGATACTCAAATCATGGACTGATCCAAATTCAAATCTGGGCAGATCCATTACACAAGTTCAGCAGCAAGTTGAGTTTTAATGCTTCTTCATCACCTATAACAAAATAGCTTGGCACTTTCATGAAACAATGACAAAGTAAAACATTAAATAATTCATACAGTTCAAAAAGGAATGATTAACTAGGTCTTGCCAAAATAGAGATGATTAACTTTCATTTTACTTTTTCCACAAGTCTTGCTATTTATCTAGCAACTATTGCTATTTATCTAGCAACTAATCTAGTTTATATAGCTGAAGCACATATGGAATAGTCTGTGTATATCTGTATAGGTTATATTTAATCATATAATACACATGTATGACATGTATGTAACTATTTTTTTTTTGTTGTTAGCAAGGGAAGTAACTCTACACATCATAGAAACAAAAGAAAAAGTGGTGAATGTATATAGCCCTGGCCTGGCTTTCACCAACGTTTTCAAAAATGAGAAAATCTCAACCTAAGTATCCAAGTTGAGAAAAATCTCAGACTTGTGATTAGATTTTGACTTTGAGATCGTTAGTGAAAACTGGGCCTGACCTTAAGGTTCTGACTGTCTCAGATCTTAGGATTTTCATTGGTCAGTGAACATTCTGTGACAGTTTCTGACCAATCAAATACCCGAGATCTGAGTTTGAGCTTGAAGAATTTCTTTATAACCTTAGGGCCAGGACTCCAATTAAGTATGTTAGTCACTCTTGGTGATATTTGCATTCCACTTTCATAACCAAACTGGTGCTATTACTGGTTATATAACCAAGAAAGTAGTCATATATTAACAAGACTTTAAACCCTTATCTTGCTAAATATCTAAAATGGACCACTATTAATCTTGACATTATCAGGGGAGAATTTTCAAAATATACATATATAGGGACAAAATCGTAATCACTGGTCAAACGGGTAGTCAACAATGACACTATAAAGGTCATATGGCAACTTTTCGATTGTGGTGGCTGAACTGTGCTCTGGTAAATTCAATGTGGCCTACTGCCATGATCCAGAGTGAAAACTACCAACAGCACCACTCCAGTTTTTACTTGTGGAGAAAGACCTAAGATGCATTGAACCTTCTGTTTGAGTCTCGTTGTGTGAAATCTTAAAGTATGAAGTCCGAAAAGTATTAAAACAATATATGCCAATTTCTTTTCCGGTGTATAAAAACACAACAACAAACAAGACAATAACAATATCCCCCTATCTACTAAAGCACAGGCATAAAAATAATCGAGAATGATTTATTTTCAGCATATTAAGATGATCAGACCATATTCTGGTTACAAAAGTTACACTTGAATCAAGAAATAGGAGGCAACACAAGTGTAGGGGGAGTAAACAAATCCATACCTCCTACACAACCTGTATTTGAGAACATACTTTATTTAACCATATTGTCCCCTCAATAACAGTAGTTTATTTACAAGTTACAGCTGCTTAAATTGATCAGCAGTCAAGTTTCAAATTTTAACTTTAATTAAACTTGGACGATATTTTTTTGTTTGGGTGAAACATGGAATATATTTTCACAAAACATGGTAAAATTCCATATATTTCCACGAGACAGAATGGCAAGTGAAATATAATGAATTTTTATTATGTAAAGTGAAGATATATAACATATTTCACAAAAAAAAAAATTAAATTTAACTTTTCATTTTATTTTACAATCAAGAAAAAAGATGTTTTTCAACAACTTGTTACGCATTTGCATTTATACAGTGAGCAGTAATACATTGATTATTTAAAGGTGCTTAATGCAGTTCAATTGATACACAATCTATCACAGCCATCTTAAACTGTCTTGAGAAAACATATCCAGCTAATTTCTGATAATGAAATGAATAGTGGAAGCTACTGACTGCAACAAAAAAATCAACAAAGTAAGTAATCCACTATAAACATATACAAACCTATGCCGGCATGTTGTTCGGGAGGAATTGTCACATGTTTCATGATCTGGGCATACTGGTTCCTCAAACCCCATCGGTACAAAATATCAGCATACACTTTAAGAAAATGGTCATACAGAATGTATTTGCTTGGGTCCAAAATTCTGAAAATAGTGAGAAAATGTATTGTAAATGGTTGAAATATTAAGATATAAAAGTATCCCGATTTACATATCAAAGTATGTTTCCTTAAAATTACATATTTGAGCATTTATGTTAATTCATATCAATGATTATGTATCTAACAAATTGCAGCTATTTGTTATGCCATATCACAAATCTACCAGTATCACAGTATATCAGCCAGTCTAATTCTTCTCAATCTTATCACAAGAAAGGTTAAAGTTAAAATATATAGACTCAGAAAACAGGTAAAGTGATCAGAAGTAACATATGCCTATAACTACAAGACAGTGTACACACTGAATTGTATTGACTTGTAAGACAAGTAACAGTAATTTCATTTATCTACTGCTATAATTTTCATGTTATTTTACAAACCTGTCATCATTTTCATGTTACTTTACAAACCATGCAGTTATTTACATTCTATTTTACAAACCTCCAGTTATTTTCATGTTATTTTTACAAACCTCCAGTTATTTTCATAATAATTTACAAAACCAGCATTTATTTTCATGACATTTTACAACCCTGCAGTTATTTTCATGCTATTTTACATACCTGCAGTTATTTTCAAGTTTTTTTTACAAACCTGCAGTTATTTTACAAACCTGCAGTTATTTTCATATTATTTTAAAAACCTGCAGTTATTTTCATGTTATTTTACAAACCTGCAGTTATTTCATATTATTTTAAAAACCTGCAGTTATTTTAATTTAATTCTACAAACCTGCAGTTATTTTCATTTAATTTTACAAACCTGCAGTTATTTTCATATTATTTTAAAAACCTGCTTTTATTTTAATGTTATGTTACAAACCTGCATTTATTTTCATGATATTTTACAACCCTTCAGTTATTTTCATGTCATTTTACAACTCTTCAGTTATTTTCATGTTATTTTACAACCCTGCAGTTATTTTCATGTTATTTTACAAACCTGCAGTTATTTTCATGCTATTTTACAAACCTGAAGTTATTTTCATGTTATTTTACAAACCTGCAGTTATTTTCATGTTATTTTACAACCCTGCAGTTATTTTCATGTTATTTCATAAACCTGCATTTATTTACATTCTATTTCACAAACCTGCAGTTATTTTCATGTTATTTTACAAACCAGCAGTTATTTTCATGTTATTTTGCAACCCTGCAGTTATTTTTATGTTATCTCATAAACCTGCAGTTATTTACATTCTATTTTACAAACCTGCAGTTATTTTCATGTTATTTTACAAACCTGCAGTTATTTTCATGTTATTTTACAAACCAGCAGTTATTTTCATGTTATTTTACAAACCTGCAGTTATTTTCATGTTATTTTACAAACCTGTAGTTATTTTCATGTTATTTTACAAACTGGCAGTTATTCTTATGTTATTTTACAAACCTGCAATTATTTTACAAACCTGCAGTTATTTTCATGTTATTTTACAAACCTGTAGTTATTTTCATGTTATTTTACAAACTGGCAGTTATTCTTATGTTATTTTACAAACCTGCAATTATTTTACAAACCTGCAGTTATTTTCATGTTATTTTACAAACCTTCAGTTATTTTCAAGTTATTTTACAAACCTGCAGTTATTTTTATGTTATTTTACAAACTGGCAGTTATTCTTATGTTATTTTACAAACCTGCAATTATTTTACAAACCTGCAGTTATTTTCATGTTATTTTACAAACCTGCAGTTATTTTCATGTTATTTTACAAACCTGCAGTTATTTTCATGTTATTTTACAAACCTGCAGTTCTTTTCAAATTATTTTGCAAACCTGCAGTTATTTTCATATTATTTTACAAACCTGCAGTTCTTTTCAAGTTATTTTGCAAACCTGCAGTTATTTTACAAACCTGCAGTTATTTCATGTTATTTTACAAACCTGCAGTTATTTTCATGTTATTTTACAAACCTGCAGTTATTTTCATATTATTTAACAAACCTGCAGTTATTTTCATGTTATTTTACAAACCTGCAATTATTTTACAAACCTGCAGTTATTTTCATGTTATTTTACAAACCTGCAGTTATTTTCATGTTATTTTACAAACCTGCAGTTATTTTCATGTTATTTTACAAACCTGCAGTTATTTTCATGCTGTTTTCTCTCAATTTCCTCAGCCTTCTCTTTGGGATCTAATTCCTCTGCAAATCTGTAATCCTCAAATGAGAAATCTGATAAACTGTTGGAGCGTCTTATCTTCACCATTGCTGGAATATTATAACAATGAATTAATTTCTAAAATCACACTTGTTCTAAGGCTATGGTGAGTTAATGTCATTGGTCACAATTTCAAGTTTAAATAACCAATCAGATTCTAGGGATTTAGACTGATTCTAAAATGATTTTTTTTTCAACTTTACATGCATATCTTTTATATGAAATTTACTTTTCCTTCTTCCTTATCACCAATTCTTGAGTTTTCATAAACTAAGTTAAACATAACTTTAATTGTGTATAAACAAAATCAAAAACATTAACTTTTCAAAACCAAACTGATATATAAGTTGTTTTCTAAAGCAACAAAGCAAAAAAAATAATAAAAAAATATATATAAAACCGAATTTCGAAAATTAATGCTCACTAAATAAAACAAGAATCTTATACACAAATGCTATAGATACATTTATACAATAAAAAGCAAAGCAAGTCTAAACGAAGTCCCTTAAATTTTATACACATTAACAAAGCATAAAAAAAATGTAAATGTATTAAAATAAACATGCATTTTATCCAACTCAAGGATTTCTTATGCAACAAAGAACTGCAGCTATCTAAAATATAAAAACAAACAAAAAACTAATTACAATTCCAAATCACCAAAGAAATATACTAAATACATGTATATCAAATCACAAGTAGCTTTTTTAAGCAATACACATATGTCAAACCTGTATTTAGGACAAACAGTTGCAATGGTACCTCTTTTTGGATATTTAGATATTTTCAAAATACTGTTTAACAGGGCATAAGTTGATTAAAGCTGTACAAACCATATCAATTCCTTACCAACTCTCTTCTGACTCTAGAATTCCATAATTCTTTTTTATTTTTTTTATAAACCCAGCAAGACTACTGTATTATTTGTTAACATTTATTTATTTTAGCTCATTATTGATAAAAGCTTTGAGCTTATCTGAACCACACTTCAGACAGCTTCCTGGAACCAGCCAGTACTGTTGCCATGTGAATAAACATGGTTGTGACCAAGATAGGGCTCAAACACATTTTCCCTAGATTGAGAGACAGACACTTTAACCTCTTAACCACCATTCCCCTTTACAATTGCACTTTTTATTCCTTATGTGACAAACAGCATGCCTTTAAAATGAAAATACTGGTAGATTTTCTCATGTATACCAAGCTTTATCAGCCTAGCTTGAATACTATTGGAGCTTTCATATAATTAATATTTAAACTAAATTCTTGTTTATTTCCATATCCATAGCAACCATAATTTTGACTTCAAGGAAAAAAAACCTTGCCTATTCTTCATATTGTAATCTATTCACATTATCGATTATAAATAACATTCTTTTTTTTTATACACTTTCATTCAAAGATTCACCCTTTTGAAGTATATAAATTGTTATATTACACTCTTTCTGTTACTATGTCAACCTATAATAAGAGACTAATAAAGGATTGCACTCTGTCAACAGATGGTCATAAACACAGGTTTGACTACAAATCACAGCTGAAATACAACTATAACCAGTCAGATATAGATAGGCATGCAAAAATAAATCATACGTCAGCTGAAACTGAAAACTCTGCCATTGGTCAATTTCAAATACAAAATTCAAAATCAACCAATCAGATGATAATTCCCAAACTTCAATATTTTTTTGTATTACTTAATCATAAGATATGAAAACTCATTAAAAATCTTAAAAACATGATAAAATTACAAAATGAACATAAAAAATATACATGAATATAATTATATAATGAAATTGTTTTAAAGTGTATAATAATATTTCTTAATATCTATAACATTTTTATTTATCAAAACACATTTTTTTATAATTAGACTGAAATTTAATTTTTTTTAAAAATATTTATCAAAATAATGAGTGACAAAAAAGTAGTTTCTGTAAAGTTTTCTCATGGTAGATAGGGCTGCAAATAATCAAATGGTTGTTTATATTTTTTTTTTCAATTTTTTCAATATCATTATTATTAAAATTTGACATCATCTTAATACTTAATACTTAGTGGGTGAACAATTGTCAACTCCGAAAATGCACCTTTCCTTTCACTACCCTCGGAAAAAATATTTACAAAGGATGAATAGTATAGCATATATCCAACAGATAGACATTTTAATATTAAATATAAAAGATGCATGTTGGAAATTCACATTTGTTTAGTTTTCTCCTTTTCTTTATTATCATTTTTTCCGTGTCTTCTGATTTTAAGATGGAAAGTTAATGTTAGTCAGCAAACAGTAATAATAGTCCGGACAGACTGCATGCTAATACTAAGTGCAGTCTGTCCTTAATACTGGTAGCATAACCACTTTTGGCAGTCTGCCATTGGTCAATTTAACAAGAGGGCCATGATGGCCCTGAGTCGCTCACCAGAAACAACTGCTTTTCAGTGTTGGAATGTCAATATATTCTAATATTAAATTTGAGCATAGAATATGCTTAAACAATAATTTGAAGAAATGCCATGACCTGGGGCATTTAAGCTAGCTTAAACTGGGCCAATCAAATTAATATGAGCAAACTTGATAAAAGACTACCTAAGAATGCTACAAAGTTTGGTGAACATCTTTCAATTATTTCAGTAGGAAATGATGTTGGAAGGTTTTTTCTATTTTTAGTTTTAGTGGCTCCAAATAAATATAAGCAAACTTGATATAAGAGTACCCAAGAATGCTACAGACAAAGTTTGGTGATCATCCATCAATTGGTTCTGAAGTAGAAGATGTTTAAAGGTTTTTCTATTTTTAGCTTAAGCGGCCCCTAAAAGGGGCCAATCAAATTAATATGAGCAAACTTGATAAAAGATTACCCAAAAATGCTTCAGACAAAGTTTCGTGACAGTCCAATAATTTGTTCTGTAGGAAAAATGTTTAAACATATTTCTATTTTTAATTTTAGCGGCCCCTAAAAAGGGGTAATCAAATTAATATGAGCAAACTTAATAAAAGACTACCCAACAATGCTTCAGACAAAGTTTGGTGATCATCCATCAATTAGTTCTGTAGAAAAAGACATTTAAAGGTATTTCTATTTTTAGCCTAAGCGGCCCCTAAAAGGGGCTTATCCAAATCATATGACCAAACTTGATAAAAGACAACTCAAGAATACTGCAGACAAAGTTTGGTGATCATCCATCAATTAGTTCTCTAGAAATAGACATTTAACGGTATTTCTATTTTTAGCTATAGAGACCCCTAAAAGGGGCTAATCAAATTAATATGAGCAAACTTGATAAAAGACTACCCAAGAATGCTACAGACAAAGTTTGGTGATCTTCCATCAATTAGTTCTGTAGAAATAGACATTTAAAGGTATTTCTATTTTTAGCTTTTGCGGCCCCTAAAAGGGGCCAATCAAATTAATATTAGCAAACTTGATAAAAGACTACCCAAGAATGCTACAGACAAAGTTTGGTGATCATCCATCAATTAGTTCTGTAGAAATAGACATTTAAAGGTATTTCTATTTTTAGCTTTTGCGGCCCCTAAAAGGGGCCAATCAAAATAATATTAGCAAACTTGATAAAAGACTACCCGAGAATGCTACAGACAAAGTTTGGTGATCATCCATCAATTAGTTCTGTAGGAGAAGATGTTTAAAGGTTTTTCTATTTTTAGTCCTAGAGACCCCTTAAAGGGGCCAATCAAAATTGTTTTAGCATACTTGATAGAAGGCTACCTAAGAATGCTACAGACAAAGTTTGATGATCATCCATCCATTAGTTCTCTAGAAATAGACATTTATGGATGATCCATTAGTTCTCTAGAAATAGACATTTAAGGGTATTTCTATTTTTAGCCCTAGAGACCCCTAAAAGGGGCCAATCAAATTAATATGAGCAAACTTGATAAAAGACTACCCAAGAAGGCTACAGGCAAAGTTTGGTGATCATCCATCCATTAGTTCTGTAGAAGAAGATGTTTCAAGGTTTTTCTATTTTTAGCTCTGCTGACCCCTAAAAGGGGCCAATTGGAATGACATGAGCAAATTCAAGTGTGACTGTCACAAGGATGCTACAGACCAAATTTGAAGTAAATCTGCCTAGTAGTTTCAGAGAAAAAGACGATTGTTGACGCATGACGACAGACGCCAGAGCATCCCCCTTTGATACTAATAGCTCACCCTGAGCCTTCGGTTCTGGTGAGCTAAAAATTAACCAAGCAGCCCTATCACTCATAAAAAACATATTCTGTCATAAACAAAATAAACATCGAAATAACATATAACAGGAAAATAGAACAAGCAAGCAAGTTAGAATATAATGGTGAAATTTGATTGGACGATACCTCTACTGAGGAAATTTGAAATGTTGGGGGATGTGACAGTTTCTGGGGGCGACAGGCTTCCAGCCTCCATGTGAGGTGCTGAAATAATATGCATCCATTAGCACAAAATAACAGTGATATAAAGGGCATTGTTTGAAGTTCAAAGCAGGGTGGTTATGAAAAGTAAATTTCAAATGAATTGTTACTAAAAATATCATCATTTTCAAAAGTGTGTTCTCGAAACAAACCAATAGGATGCTTAGGCTTGAGGACTTCTTTTTAATACAAATTGTTTTCTTACTGTCTGATTTTATTAACCTGTCAATTACATAGTGATTATACAAGTCAGTGCAAACAATTAATTATTCTTCCATAGGTTTGCCATTCCAGTTATGTTGATTACATGTAGATGTACTAAATTATATGTGTACATCTAGAACATTTACACATGTTTTATATTTAATGTGTATTCATACCATACTGAGAGTTCAAGCATAAAGTGTAAATTACAATTTTGTTATTCCTAGCGGTCCATGGTGTCATAAGATCAAGACTGCATGGGCCTTATTTTCAATTTTTGTTGTTTTCAATCATTGTTTGTAACATTATGGAACGATTCTGCCATAAGTTGTAGCATAATGTTCTATCACTCTTTTTTTTTAAAATTTATTATCTTCCAGGATGTAGATGATTGTTTCTCTCCAACATACTTAACAAGTTTCCATACTATTTTAGAGTTTTTATTGTGAATTTTAGTTTACAGAAGTGTTCTTTTCCATTAAAATATGGCACAAAAAAGTAATGCAAACCAACATTAGGGTTCGAAAAAAAGACCTCTATCATATTAAGCAATCATGTTATTGTCTGTGCTATCATATACATAACTATGATAGCCTGCCTTTTTAATTCCATATTAATTTCCTTAAATCACACAAAAGTTGGATCAAATATTGAAAAGACCCCTTTAATGGATTCATAAATGACAGGTCACTAAAATCAAACAATAATTTGGACCTTACATCCAAAAATTGCAGTCAAATATGTCTACTACTAATTTTTGGGTCTCAAGACCTAAATTCATGAAAATTTATTTTGCTTGAAAAAATGAAACGCAAGCTTGAGAGAGACATTTAACAGCCATTCACATACATGAGCAGGTGCTAGGGGACTAAATTCTAAGAATATTGCTCAACATAAACATATAATTTCATACTATACTCTGATATTTTCATGACTATGTCATATGCACAGATTTCGAAAAAAATTCTTCCAAGCTAGCCAAACAAGCTGCTGTGCAAAAATGAACAGTAAATTGTTCGCTTCCTCGAGATTTTAGGGTTTCAATTGGCATTTAACTTTTTATAAATGATTTGTTTACATTTTTTGAATGTGACATAATATAAAATAAAAGCATGACTTGTAAAAACAGAATGCTCATGCTGTCTGGTGATAATAAATTCATACATACATACAAAAAAAATACATTTCAGAAAAAAAAAAGCAACATGAACAATTTTATTACTGTCTGATCAATTCTCCTCCTTTTTTAACTCCCTCATATACTTTATTAGAAATCTAGAAATATTTTGCCATCTTTGAACTTTAAATAATTGAAAATGAGAAAGACCCACATGTCCATCTTATGTATAATTTCAAATTAATAATTGAGCCACGTCACGACAAAACCAACATAGTGTGTTTGCGACCAGCATGGATCCAGACCAGCCTGCGCATCCGCGCAGTCTGATCAGGATCCATGCTGTTCGCTATCAGTTTCTCTACTTGTAATAGAGTTGGTAAGCGAACAGCATGGATCCTGATCAGACTGCGCGGATGGGAAAAGCAACCAGAGTTGACTCCCTAATCTCTCTTAGAATAGCTAGCTGTAAAGCATCCTACTGTAAAAGAATATTCTTTATAAGATTTTTTTTTGATAGCATGGGCGACTTTCCTGCTTAAATGTGGTGAAAGAACTCAGGTGTCCTTCTGTGCATTATTTCAGGCACAAACTTGCTTACATGAAAGAATCCAAAGTCCCTGTAAGGATTTGTACCCACAGCGGTAAGGGGCAAGTGGTTTGAAGTCAATGACCTTAACCACTTAGCCATAGTCACCCCTTCACAAGATTTTATAACATATCAGGTTTGAAAGACTATATTTTAACCCATACCATTCTTTATTGGTACTAAGCATTTGCGCTTAAAATTTGACTTTATCCATTGTTCATATGAGGGGATTTGAACATCAGTATGGTAAAACTATGCCGCCAGCAGTAAAAAGCCTGGTCAGACTGCAAAAACTTTATACTGTTGCCATACACGAGTTATCATTGTCGCTGGCATTAAAAAAAAATCTCAACAAAATTCAAAACTGTTTCTTGGCATTTTTACAAAATATCAATCAAAGAATGATTGGCAATTTGTAGTGACACAATTTAAGAGAAATTTATAAATCAGTACCATTTAAGCAAAATAAGCTGATCAAACAGTAATATTAATTGTCCATACAAAAAATAGACACAATATGTTATAAATAATATCTCTTCTATTCATATGAAAGAGTTTCAAATGTTACTTATAAAAATATTATTCCATTAACCTTCAATCTAATAAAAAGCAACAATACAAAAGCTCTGTTGCTGCAATTTTTATCATATAATAACTTTTAACAAATTTCTACAGCTAACCTTATTAAAAGCATACCTTTTTTTCAATTTTGTTTAACATAAAATCAATCAAATCTTTTAAATCAGTCCCCTTCCCATTAACTAATTTCTAAAACATCTATCTAACCTATTGACCTTTGCCCAACTAAATTAGTATAATAATCTTGTCCTTTTTAAATCTGGTATTGTTGATTTTAATTAATGAATGTTAAAATTCACAAGCCATCAAAAATGACACCGGTAAAGTCTTTGGTAAAAGCAAAGGAATCCTTATGAAAACAATTATTAATTTTCCATTCTTTTTATTAAATGCTGACTAGTTATATATAGTAAAATGATGACTGACTAACTAATTAAAATTGGTTCTTATGGCAACCTCAACACACTATATTTCACAAATGACCAGAAGACTGTTAAAATTAAAGTCGAAAATAGAACTGCATACACTTCAACTAACCAGTTTATATATACTAGTAGAAATACATGTATAATACTGTCATATGACTGTAAAAAAAGCAGTTTTTTTTTTAAATATTAGTACAGTAAATCCCCTATAAAAATCTATTTATAGTGTGGCACACACAGACACACGCACACATGTTATCTTGTACTACCTGTATCATCATGTGACTCTTCTCTCTGTTCACGTAAAGCCTCTAAACAAACAAAAATGAAAGCATAAAAAATACCATACACTTCTTGGTCAACATAAACATTAAATAGCAACTAAATGTAAATCGGCAACATTTCAAATCTGTCAAATTTAAAAAAGACAAAAACTCAAGTCCATAAGAATTTAAATGAGACAAAATAAATGAAACAAAAATTGTGGAATTTTTTACTTCATCGTCTCATCATTGATTACATAAAAATGTTCCAGTTATTTTAAAATTCCCCATTATTGTCCGGAAAATCTGTTTAACCTCGAGCCAAATGACCTTTAACCTATGCATTTATGCGATATTATCTAAAAATTCCCCTTTATTGTTTGGACAGAGTTATACACCATAGACATTTGTGCTGTATTATTTCAAAATTCCCCTTTATTATACCGACAAAATTTAATGGTTTCAGACCATAAACCATAATATATCTAATGCATTTCTGCCATATTATTTCAAAATTCCCCTTTATATGATCACTGTACCCTGTCTTGTTTGTGACCCTTTACAAGTTAAAGTGTACCAAGTCATAATTGCAATGTGAAACCATCTTTGGGGTGCCTTTGTATTTCAACTTGAACCTTTCTTCCGCTTACAGGAATTAAACTTGTTTATATACTGTTTTTATTGTATGGACAAATGTTTTAGGACTAATGACCTTCACCCTTATGCATTTGTGCCATATCATTTCAAAGTACAGACAAATGGTTTTAGACCAATGCCCTTAACCTTAGATATTTGTACCAATTTATTGAGGAATACCTCAATCTATGGTTGAGTCATGGTCCTGACAAAAACTGCACTAATGCAAATACATTATGACAATCAGTCACTGTGTCAAGTTCATAGAGCTAAGTGTCAAGTTCATAGAGCTAACAGCAAGCGTGCTCAACATCAAGTCAAAAATATGTGAAAGTAACAAAAAAGTTAAACAGCTGATTTCAGCACAAATCAGAACCCAATCAAATATGGGATATGGCTTTTAGGCAAAAGTCAAGTGTTTCCACAAATATTCCATAACTTCAAGATTTTGAAAAACAAAATACAAATAAAAACAAAACATAAACAGATGTATGTAGCACATGTAAAGTGTAAAATATAAATTGCTAGCCCGTTTTATCTTTGCTGAAAAGTTATCAGTAGACCTGATACTTGTTTTAAAAAATTATTTACATTATAAAGACAGTGCACTTTGATCTTGTTACTTTTCACACAATAAATATCAGTTAAAAAGCCATGTTTAGTTATAAAAGAATATATTTTAGTTTGATTATGTAGGAAGATAAAAGCTTATAAAACAAGAGCCATGTCAACATGGCCATCCCCCTGCCGAATGTGTTTACTCATTGGAAGAATGTATATGTAGTAGAGCAGAATAATTCCATTTTAAGAGGTCTTTTGGTGGCTGAAGTGATTACAGATTTGAAACCTATGTTAATACTGATAAATAACAAAGGGCAATAACTGAAAAATAATACAGGGTAAGTTATCATTCTTGTGTTCTGCACCCCTCCTCAGTAAAATCTATCCACCTATGAAGTTTCAAGTTGATATCTCAAATACTTTTTGAGATAAGCTCTGGACAAAATAGTATGAAAAAGAACAAGAGGGCCATGATGGCCCTGAGGTCGCTCACCTGTATATAGGCCCCCCCCCACCCCCGGGCCAATTTTTACCCAAGGGCTTTTATTTGTTTATTTGAACAGACTTGGTAGACACCCATAAGAAGATGTTTCATGCTAAACATCTAAGTTCTAGCTCATTGGGTTTTTTAAAAGAAGATTTTTAAAGTTTTTACTATACACATATAGTTAAAAACAATGACACCCCTGGGGCAGGGCCAGTTTTGACCCCCGGGCTTTTATTTGAACAAACTTTGTAGATATTTACTTAAAGATGTTTCATGCTTAATATCTAAACTCTAGCTATTTGGGTTTTTTCAAAGAAGATTTTTAAGTTTTTGCTATACACATATAAGGAAAATCAATGACCCCCCCCCCCCAGGGCTTTTATTTGAACATACTTGGTAGACACCCATTAGAACATGTTTCATGCTAAATATCTTAGCTCTAGCTCTTTGAGTTCTTTAAAAGAAGATTTTTTAAGTTTTTACTATATGCATATAGGGAAAATCAATGACCCCCTGGGGCGGGGCCAATTTTGACCCCAGGGCTTTTATTTGAACAAACTTGGTAGACACTCATTAGAAGATGTTTCATGCTAAATATCTTAGCTCTAGCTCTTTGGGTTCTTTAAAAGAAGATTTTTTAAGTTTTTACTATATGCATATAGGGAAAATCTATGACCCCCTGGGGCGGGGTCAATTTTGACCCCAGGGCTTTTATTTGAACAAACTTGGTAGACATTCACTAGAAGATGTTTCATGCCAAATATCTAAGCTCTAGCTCTTATGGTTCTTTAAAAGAAGATTTTTTAAGTTATAGGGAAAATCAATGACCCCCCGGGGTGGGGCCAATTTTGACCACAGGGCTTTAATTTGAACAAACTTGGTAGACACTCACTAGAAGATGTTTCATGCTTAATATCTTAGCTCTAGCTCTTTGGGTTCTTTAAAAGAAGATTTTTTAAGTTTTTACTATATGCATATAGGGAAAATCAATGACCCCCTGTGGCGGGGCCAATTTTGACCCCAGGGCTTTTATTTGAACAAACTTGGTAGACACTCACTAGAAGATGTTTCATGCTTAATATCTAAGCTCTAGCTCTTACGGTTCTTTAAAAGAAGATTTTTTAAGTTTTTACTATATGCATATAGGGAAAATCAATGACCCCCCGGTTTGGGGCCAATTTTGACCCCAGGGCTTTTATTTGAACAAACTTGGTAGACACTCATTAGAAGATGTTTCATGCCAAATATCTTAGCTCTAGCTCTTTGGGTTCTTTAAAAGAAGATTTTTTAAGTTTTTACTATATGCATATAGGGAAAATCAATGACCCCCTGGGGCGGGGCCAATTTTGACCCCAGGGCTTTTATTTGAACAAACTTGGTAGACACTCACTAGAAGATGTTTCATGCCAAATATCTAAGCTCTAGCTCTTAGGGTTGTTTAAAAGAAGATATTTAAAGATTTTTCTTTCGGTTGCCATGGCAACCAGAGTTCTGCATGGAATTAAATTCTTTGAACAATTTTTAAAGGTGACCACCAAAGGAACATTCCTGTGAAGTTTGGATGAAATTGGCTCAGTGGTTAATGAGGAGATGTCATTTAAAGCAAAAGTTTACGGACGGACAGACGACGGACGGACGCCGGACGGACGCCGGACGAAAAGCGATCACAAAAGCTCACTCTGTCACTTTGTGACAGGTGAGCTAACAAAGGGCAATAACTCAAAAATTATATAGGGAACAGTTATCATTCTTGTGCACAGCATTCCTCCTCAATAAGATCTATCCACCTATGACATTTCATGTTGATATGTCAAACACTTTTTGAGTTATGCTCCACTCAGGTGAAAAATTAAGAATGAAATAACAAAGGGCAATAACTCAAAAATTATGAATGGTAGAGTTATCATTCTTGTGCACTGAACACCTCCCAAGTGAGATCTATGCACCTATGAAGTTTCATGTTGATATCTCAAAGGCTTTTTGAGTTATGCTCTGGACAAAAATTAATTTTGAAAAATAACAAAGGGCAATAACTCAAAAACTATGCAGGGTAGAGTTATTATTCTTGTGCACTGCACTCCTCCTCAATGAGGTCTATCCACCTATGAAGTTTCAAGTTGATACCTCAAATACTTTTTGAGATATGCTCCGGACAAAATTGTCGGACGAAAGGTCGGAAGGGCGGACGGAGACTGTTTCTATATCCCCCGCCGCCTTTTCGGCTGGGGATAAAAAAAAACTTTCACATCCATTCCTGGAACCAACCAGTAGTCAGTACTGAGTAGTAAGTTTATATTGAAGAAAAGAAAGCTTTCATAGTAATCTGTTATTAGATTTTATTTCTTTGAAAATTAAGTCAAATAGAAAGCAGACTTAGCCTCCCTTGTAAAAACAATTTACAATTATTTGACAATGAACATCAATCATTTCCATTGTTTCCATTGCAGGTACTTTTCAGAAATTAAATCTATTGTACCCAGAGTGGGATCCCCATAACATGCACATCTATGCCTTAGTTTTACCCTGCTTGTTTTATGTCTCATACTTGCCATGTGAATCTGAATAGTCCAATAGTAAAACTAAGAGATTTCCACATCAAGTATAATTTTATTGTATAACTGAGCAGCAGAGACTGGGAAACGGACAAAAGCCCTCCCGGACAAAGCCTTCCCGGCCAAAAATAGGCTTTTGTCCTACACTCGCAGAGACCTGGCTCTATACTGATGGTGTAATAGTCATAAAGAATAGAACAAGAGCTGTCCGTAAGACAGCGCGCTCGACTTTTTTATTGCTTGCCAATAAAAAAAGTTTTTGCAGTAAAAGGCAATACAAGAATCTCTGTATTTTTAAAGTGAACTAATTGTTTGATACCCTTGAATATTACAGCAATGTTTATATGACATAATTTATGGTAAAGTGAACAAGTGGATAGGAATGAATTTTTTTAGATTTTTTAAGTTTTTTAGTGCTTGCCTATAATACAAAACATTGACAGTTAAGGGCCATAATTCAAATAAAATCTTTGACAGAATTACCTTCTCCTGGACATGTTTGGGAATCATGATTGTAAACAAGTATTCCAACTTTCAAATTAATATCTCAAACAGTTCAGTCAAAAAGTGGACTGGTACTAAAAACTTAACCAAGATTCTAAGTCGATAAAAGGCCTTAATTTTTAAAACAAATCCTTGACAGAGTTACCTTCTCTTGCGTACAGATGGGGGTAATGATGTGAAATAGCATTAAAAGTTTCAAAGCAATATCTCAAAGGGTTAAGGCAATAAGTGGATTTTACCCCATATTCAATGTATTTTCTAAGTCAAAAAGGGGCATAATTCTGTCAAAAACCTTGACAGAGTTATGTCCTCTTGTCTGTTGATGAAGGTCGTGATGGTAAACAAGTATGGTCAGTTTCAAAGCAATACCTCCAATGGTTTTGAAATAAAGTGAGGTGGTACAAAAAACTTAACCAAGCTCAATACACTTTCTAAGTCAAAAAAGGGCCATAATTCTGTCAAAAACCTTGACAGAGTTATGTACTCTTGTCTGTAGATGGAGGTTATGATGGTGAACAAGTATGGTAAGTTTCAAAGCCATACTTGTAATACTTCTGAAATAAAGTGGGGTGGTACGAAAAACTTAACCAAGGTGTGACGCCAACGCCGACGCCGGGGCGAGTAGGATAGCTCCCCTTTTCATAGAAAAGTCGAGCTAAAAACTACACCTCTATGTGGCTAAAGACACTTTTTAGTACAGAGCGCTGTTTAGTAAAATTTTGTCACACACAGCAATCATACTACGAAATTAGTTTAGGGAAATAGGAAATATTTCAATTTAATAATTAGTAACTGAGTAAATAGGAAGGTAGAAGTTACTTGAAAGACAGAAATTAAAAAATCTGGTTTCTAGGTTGTGGTTTATTTATTCATTTTTCCTTGAGTGTATCACCATACTTTAAATAGGTCCAAATTTGACTGTTCATTTTCTATGTAGTAAGGACACAGTAGACAAAATTACTAAGTTACAGATGGGCATTGTGGTAGAACCATTGACCATTTATGTTAGCCAGTCTGATGCCTTGTTTAGCTAAGTTTTGAAAAAAAAACTTATGTATTAAATACATAATTTATATTCAATAAATTTTGACCTTGGAACATTAAAGTTTTCAAAGAATAAAATTCTAGAGAAATCAGGCTCATGGGCAAGTAATTCAAACTAAAATTTAGCATAAATCAAAGTACATGTATATACTATTGTGAACAAAATTTGGTAAAATTTATTCATGCTAAATAATAAATGGACATTTAAGTGATAAATACATACACTTATTTTAATGTGAAGAACTTTGACAGAAAATCATTCAAAAACTAAGAAAAAATACCCTAGAACCAAATGTATCTTGCTAATGAAGAGTTAAACAAAGGGAGACAACACACACAAACTTACTGGTCAAGCTTCTCAGTAACCCAGACATGGATGAGACGGTGTGATACGGATTATACTGTGTAAATAGAACAATCAACCATGGCTTTAAATTTATAGTTATATCATAAAAAACATAAAATCATTCAACCATTACTTATCTGTTCTTTTCTCTGTACATGTACACAAAAAATATATTTGGCGGTAAAACTGCCGTCTGCTGAAAATCAAACTTTGTTGTTTTTTGTCTATTCAGCCTATCAAGCATTTACACAAGTCTGAATACGTCACCTATATGTTCTTTTATGAATATCATGATGTTTACTAGAAATATGTGTAATTCACTGAACCCGCCTCTTAACCATGCTGGATTTCTAGAAATATGTATAATTCGGTGAATCACCCCTAAACCACCCAGAATTTATGAAATCAACCTGTTTTAGTATGAATATGGAAAAGTTCATTTTTAATTCAGGGGATTCTAAAACAAAATTTTAACAAGTGTCATTGAAAAGCGTTCAAATTCAAACTTCAAGAGTGTGCCGGCTTGCCTGACTCATTAAGTATTTGGTCAAACATTATGGTGACTAAAACTCCAGTGAGAATTTTTTTGATCTTGATCAGTAAAGGCTTGATAAGTTGGACTTTTCATCCATAAAACATTTTCACATTACAATATACAGATATATCTATATTAAAGCGTACTAATGAATATATTAAATTAAGCAGCTATTATAGGAGAAAAGTGAAATATATGAAGCTATAGTTTACAGATCTTTTTTTAAGAACACTTACTTTATACCCTCCGACAAATGTTATTACACATGCATGCATACCACTATATGACAAAGTCGAAACTTCTTAGTTATGAAGATAACTGTATCATGTATGTAACAAAGATCAAATTAACAAATATACATACTGGTAATTCTTTACCATTCAATGCATCAGTTGAATTATGAAAACAAATTTTTTTATCCCTTTTACCAATGCTAAATATCTTAAATGGTCTTGATCTTTCAATCTAGTCGAAATCATTAACATTTTTTAGGGACAATTTTGAAATATCATATGTACTGACTGGATAATTTACAGTTCAGGCTGAAAATCTGAGAGCACATGTGCCGGATGATCTTGGTCTGTACTGGTTGCATGGGTAGACCCTGTTGCCGTCGACTGGCTAATGATTATAGAGATAAATGTATAGAATAACCAAATGTTTGTAAATGAACTTTTCCACTTTTGATGATAACTAAGTCTTATCCAAACAATATTTTTACATGACATTATCTTGTTAACAACAGTGAAAGGGTTATACGAACTTAGATATAACTATTTCTTAAAATAATAAAATCATACAGGCATCTTCAAACTATGAAATTTCAACCTTGGTCAAAAAGAACAACAACAACAAACCAAGCAGGCAAAAAAGCATGCAATCACAAATATATCATCCGAGAGGTAGGTTAAACTATACACTATTGATATTTAATGTCTTGTCAAACTTTTGAGACATTGATATGATTTTGTTTTCAATTTTGAATACATCCTTGACTATCATATATTTTAAGTGAATTCCCCCTCCCCACTTCTCCGCCTACCAAATGTGTCTAAACCCCACCCACTTCCTGAAGGGAATGACTGTAACCATGGCAAAAGAAATTTATTCTCCAATCATTTGTTGGTGACATTCACTAATATAAAGCATAAATTTTAATTAACCAATTTTTGCCCATTGATAAACTTTAAAGTAAGAATATCTATTGTCCCTGTCAATTCTCATATAGAAAAAAATTATTATAAATTCTATTATTTCAGCTTAATGAAAATTTAAAATGCCTATAGAAAGATTTATGACAGGCCATTACTTCTAGAATCAACCGCATAAAACATGGTCAAATTGATCTATTTAACCAACATAATTTATTTCTCCCTGTTCAATTTCCAAATGGCCTCAATGTAACCTACAATTAACGACAAAATGCCCTCGAAATGGACAGTTACGGGTAACATATTGGTGTAGGGGAATTATTTAATCTATAGCTAGTTCTATCAATAATAAATTTGTCAGTTTTACACAAACCTTTCTTAAAAAGCTGAAAACAGTAAAGAAGACATGCATTTTGTAGAAACATACAAAATATAGCAAAACAAAAATTCTGAAACAATTCCCTTTAATGAAACCATTGTACTCCCGTGTTTTCCAGTTGCATAAATGGGTGAAGGATATGTGCATTTCTAGGAATTTAAAAACAATTAACAAATTTACATAGCATAAGATATGGGTAAATTTGTACAAAAGCCATTTTTTTTTTTTTTTTTTTTTTACATTATCCTAAAAAGCGAAGAAAATGGGAACATAAATGTAAGGTTTAGGGGGTGTGGTCTATAATTGGCACCGCCTTTAATTATACAATAATGGTTTCAATAAAGCAAAGAGGTAGAGTAACAAGATAAGCACATGCCTGCTCTTACAGAAATATTTTGCATTTCGGATAGCTTGAAAATACTATAGACAAAATACAACATGATTAACAAGGTAATAGTAAAGACTAATAATTTTACCTTTTGATAATTTGTATTAAAAAATATATTAAATTTTACTCTTTTTTTGTCAAGCATGTGCCTATGGGAAACAAAAACTTGATGAAAAGCAGACCATAGGTTAGTGGACCATTGGTTACTGTTTCCACTTACTAGGTAATAAATTCCAACCACTATCAGTCGAACTGCCGAACTTTAATTCCATCTAAATTAAACAAGGACAAATAAAACAGGTGTTAGGGGGCAGCACAGGGGTTAGACATTTCTGTAGAATCAGATCTTATTATTTGGCAACAGGGGTTATCTAAAAATGCATAGATAGACGGTTTTTGAATTGAATATCTATATCTAGTGATATAGTTCACAAAAATAAATAATACAAGGTACATTGTATATATTTATCTAATAATAATTTTACATGTATATACACATGTAAGATATGCATTTATACTTATATATGAAGCAGAAAAAAAATAAAAATATCTCAATTAGTTCAAAAAGCTCTGTTTAATGTAAAATATACCCACAATAGCTTAAAGAGCTCTAAAAGATTGCAATATTTTACAATGTTTTTCATTTCATTTTATTTTCTCACAATGATGTTGCACTTTATTGATAGTGTCCACTCATTTTGTAATTTTGACCATAAAGAGAAATAAATGTCCATAAATAACTTCATTTGAACAATATTTTTGTTATGAGCATTAGGCATGTATCTCTTACAAACTAAAGCTATATAATTATAGAAGCTAATGAACCAGTCCAGACTGGATTTTGGATGTGTAACCTTTGGCCTACCCATATGCTGTTGACAAAGGTTAAGTAATAAATTAATACATAAATGCCCTTTGCACTTCAAGGAATAACCTTATCTGATTCTGTGCTTTTAAAAAACATCAGTTCAAGTCTGACCTGCGGAGACATTAATGCTTCCAGTATTTCAGGTGAATGAGCAAAATCACTGACCTTCTAAAAATCATATTGAAATAATTCCAGTTATAGAATTAACAATGAAACCTTCATTTTCAGCCAAATATGGGCAAAAAAGTTATCCCAAGACATTACAAAATTTAAATTTATGCTCAATTTTATAAGCATTTTAAGAACAAATCAAAATACAAAAGTGGTGAAATTATGGATTTAATATACAGTATACTTTTTTCTACTACTGTAAATGATAACTGTTCAATTTACAGGATTTTTTGTTGTTGATATCATCTTAATAACACCTTTACTAAAGAGACATTCCCTCTGTGCTGACCCTTATCAAATTATTTTGAGTGCACAAAATATGAACAACTAAACTGCACAAAATAAATACAACTTTCAATACTAGGTCACTGGGATATCACTAATAAATTTGGTGAAAAACTAAATAACTGTCTTAGTAAGTAAGCCCGCCAAAGTTTAATAAACAAACTATTTTGCAGAGCTTTAAGCTTAGAAAAGCAAACACTGGATCTCTGATAAACAAAGTCACAAACTTTCATATACAGTTTAATGGCTGACAATTTAAGTTAAAAGTATAGTAAATATAGATACAAAAGTATTAAATGATTCTAGATAATTAATCAGAAAAATCAAACCAGTCTATAAATGGAAATCTCCTATTGGTCAATTTCAAATTTTCATTCTACATCAACCAATAAAAATCCACCATTTTTAGAATGGTCTCTAAACTTTATAAATGTTCACTTTTGACCCCATTCAATATGTGATAGATATTCCTTGTGTCAAGCCAGTAAACAGCAATGTGTACCATGTGACCATGTCACAGAACTTGCTCATTAAATGAAAAGAGAGTGTTATAAACTGTAATACAATTTCTAGGTAAGCACATTCAACTCAGTTTAAAATCACAGAAAGTCAAGGGTAAGCAATCTATACAAGAGCTGTCCGTAAGACAGCGCGCTCGACTTTTTTATTGCTTGCCAATAAAAAAAGTTTTTGCAGTAAAAGGCAATACAAGAATCTCTGTATTTTTAAAGTGAACTAGTTGTTTGATACCCTTGAATATTACAGCAATGTTTATATGACATAATTTATGGTAAAGTGAACAAGTGGATAGGAATGAATTTTTTTAGATTTTTTAAGTTTTTTAGTGCTTGCCTATAATACAAAACATTGACAGTTAAGGGCCATAATTCAAATAAAATCTTTGACAGAATTACCTTCTCCTGGACATGTTTGGGAATCATGATTGTAAACAAGTATTCCAACTTTCAAATTAATATCTCAAACAGTTCAGTCAAAAAGTGGACTGGTACTAAAAACTTAACCAAGATTCTAAGTCGATAAAAGGCCTTAATTTTTAAAACAATCCTTGACAGAGTTACCTTCTCTTGCGTACAGATGGGGGTAATGATGTGAAATAGCATTAAAAGTTTCAAAGCAATATCTCAAAGGGTTAAGGCAATAAGTGGATTTTACCCATATTCAATGTATTTTCTAAGTCAAAAAGGGGCATAATTCTGTCAAAAACCTTGACAGAGTTATGTCCTCTTGTCTGTTGATGAAGGTCGTGATGGTAAACAAGTATGGTCAGTTTCAAAGCAATACCTCCAATGGTTTTGAAATAAAGTGAGGTGGTACAAAAAACTTAACCAAGCTCAATACACTTTCTAAGTCAAAAAAGGGCCATAATTCTGTCAAAAACCTTGACAGAGTTATGTACTCTTGTCTGTAGATGGAGGTTATGATGGTGAACAAGTATGGTAAGTTTCAAAGCCATACTTGTAATACTTCTGAAATAAAGTGGGGTGGTACGAAAAACTTAACCAAGGTGTGACGCCAACGCCGACGCCGACGCCGACGGCGGGGCGAGTAGGATAGCTCCCCTTTTCATAGAAAAGTCGAGCTAAAAATGCAAAAAAAAAAAAAAAAAAAAAAATTGCATGCAGGTTCTATATTTCAAGATGGAATTTCACACTTCAAATCTTTTTTACATGGGTTTCATTATGACCCATTAGCCATGTGAAATTTCCCATGCAACAGTTTAATGTCACTATTTGTAACGTTCTTTAACATCAGTTAAAGAAATGACTAAACATAATGAAACCCTTGTTTCTATGGTCAACATTTTAACATTCTTCCCTCTTTGCAGTGTGGTTAGGTCAAATAAATAAAGACTTATTGTGAATGTTTGTTTGTTGGATTTAACATCACATCAACACTGAAATGGACACATGGCAGCCTGCTAATGCTATTTGTGGAGCTACCTCAAAGCCCGTCTTTATATCATTTCAGACAGTTGCCGGCACCTGAGTAGAACCACCATTTTTCAGTAAGCTAGCTGGATAGGTTCCTCACATGGAACAGTTCAAAGTCCCTGTTGGGATTCCGACCCACAGCAATGACAGGAAAGTGATTTTCAGTCAGTGACCTTGACCTTACTTCCATGGTCTTCATCCCCCACAAAGTGAAAGTAATTATATATAATATATTATTCAACTCCAACACTTGCAATGATTTATAAATAAATTATAAATACAGTAGAACTTTGGTAAGTCAAAATTGGCGAAACTTTGGCACATTGAGACTGAATTTTTTAAGAGATGTATAGACTTCAGAAATCAGAACCTATTCAATCTCCTCTTGCAATCATGCAGGGATAAAAAGTAACAGTAATTCTGATGCCTCAACCATGAAAGGCAACTCCTCAGCCACAAGGTGAGAGGTTTAATAGATTTCATTTGCATAATCTCTAAATTTAGCAAAGGGGAAAGAAATTCCAAAAAATGTACTCATTGAGCATTGAACAGTGCAGACCATGATTAGAGAGAACAGATGTGCCTGCTGAACCTAGTCTGCACTGGTCTTGTGGGAAGAATCAGTTGCCACCAACAGGCTAAGAGTTATTTGACCTAAAAACACTGCCAAGTGGTACAACATCATTACCTTGTAGATTTTCTTTAACAAAAAAATCATATCAACTCACACACAATAGAAACTATTATTTGTTTTAAAGCAGCACACCTTCAAATGAGTCAACTTCAAAAGATCAAACTTAGGTAAAATATATAAATACTTTAAGAAACAAATTTCTCAATGCAGGTAAAATTTTAAACTTATTCAGAATTTACTACTCTTATTGCCATTTTCCTTAAAAAATACATTTGTAGAAGAGTAAGTAAAAATTCCTCCCATTTTAGTAAGACAGTTAGTGCCATAAGCAATGTTTAATAGTGGACTTGTTGCAGCAATTTTGAAATCTGCATAAAAATTTATACAGAACCAGAGGTGTGCTACCTCAATAATGATAAATTCAAAATCAAACTAATTTCAAATTTCAAACTTCAAGAAATACAATGCTTAACATTATTTGTTTCACTCAATGATTCTTGTAAAATACCATATTTACTTCTCAATAAATAAACCATTTCTTTTATTCTCAACAAAAATACATTTTCCATTCACAATTATTTATCATCAATGTTTATGGTTCACCAATGTTTATTGTAAAATTAAGAGCAGTCGTGCAGTTCAAATGCTTCAGTCAAATTTAAGTTCTTAGCATTTAAACAGAAAACCATTCTTTAGTTTACAATAAATAACAGAACAAATTTTTTTTAATTTTTCTTATGAATGACAGTCATATTATTAAAAATACATACACACATAAGTTATATGTTATAAGTAGATACTTACATTTGGAGGGACATAGTCTAAAGACGCCTTGGAAGCTGATTTCTTTATATTGGAGGATTGTGGGACAGAGACGACAATTTTCTTGTCCCAGAACACACAGCAGATCATGGCAAGAGTTTGAACATCGTGTATACTCTTGTAATAATTAATTCTGGAATTGGAGAATACCCTGAAATACTGACTTGTAATTGTGAGATTTGATAAAACAGAGTCACTTTTGAAGTAGCAAAACCAACAATGTTATGGTCACATGACACTTTCCACCCTGGCCCTGTCACATGCTTGTTCCTAGATAAGAGCTTCAATTTTAATAGTGGGCCTAGATACCCTGATTCCCTTTTATGTATTATTGAAGACACTGGATAAAACCACCAACTTTGGCATTATTTGGGGGAGATTCTTAAACAATTTTAAGCTCATTAAAAATTTTTAAATCATACAGATTATTACAGAACTATTCCTACAGTTAAAATTCAAAACATGAATTTTCAGTTTACTTACAGAGATTCATACATCTGTCTACCAAAAGGTCTCTGTGCCCAGGGTATGCCGTCATCAGGGTTGGTGGAAGGGGTCAACATCTGACTACATGTGACAGGTATCATAGACCATAACTGCAAGAAAATCAAATTCAAATTTACTGTATGAATTATTGCATAACTAAGATAATGAACAAAATAGTATCTCGTCCAAGTTCATTTTTCATTCGATTTCTTGCAATATTCTACAAAAAAGAGAGACTTTAATGAAAAATGAATAATAACCGGTGCATAATTATATATCCATTTAAGTACTCTCAATTACAGTTGTTTTGTAAAATTCCAGCTTGAATGGTGGAAATTTACCACAGCATATAAGTATAATCAATCAAAGTACAATGGCAGTGAAATACTTACTAGTCTTTCAGATTGTCTAACATAGCAAATTTGAAAATGTTGCATGCTCTACTAACTGAGCCTGTTTAGTGGAAAATACCTGGTCCACACTACCCATATAGCAGACTGAAGTTAACCTTTTCCACGCTAATAAATGGACTTGTCCATCTTTCAATTTGGACTAAACTGTTTATCATTTTTAGCGAAAATTTCAAAGAATGTTCTGACTTGAATACCGAGCAGTGCAAAACATAATCATGGATTCACTGATTGCATAGGTAAAATCAGTTGCCACATGCCGGCAAAGGGTTTAGTTAAGCTGATGTAACCATCATTGAAAATTTACAAACATTGGTAAATATGTTTATTATATACTTATAAATGAAATATTGAGAAATATTGATGAAATAAAATGCATATTTTCATTTTCCGTATTTTCACTGTAAAAATTTATTTTTCACTGCAGTGAAACATATTTTCCGTATTTTCACTGGTGTCTCGCCGGACTACTTTCTTTTAAATTCTGCCAGTACACAAAATTAAATGGAAAGTCTTTCAAATTTTATCGCAAAAAAAGAGAAAAATGTATATAATAAACAGAAAATTCAAGTTTTTTCTATAAATACATGATTTATTTTCATCTTGTGGCATGAAAATTACCATATTTCACTCGTGGCTACCGCCACTCATGAAATATTTATTTTCATACCACTCGATGAAAATAAATCATGTATTTATAGAAAAAACTTGAATATCCTCTATTTATAATACAGTTTTATGAATTTGATGCTTAACCACATTATGTAGCATTTGCAGAGAAAACTGTGAATTAAGTAAAGGTGTGTGATAGTTCAGATTCTGCGATACAAACCCTAACAAGATCCTTCCGCCCAACTGCAGCAGCTTCCTTCTTGTTATGTTCACACATACTTTCTATATTAGTCACATCCAAACTGAAAATATATGAGTATATATACAATAAACTAAAGTATGACAAAAATTTAAATTATAGGTGATATAACATTGATGTTAAGCTCAGCCAAACAAAAATATACATTATGAGAATATTCATGTATACATTAAAAGAATGTACCTCAAGGCTATGTCTTGGAGGCAACTTTTTGACAAAAATATTTTCTTAAATCGCATTGAAATTAGTAAAATGCCAGAAAATCTCTCACTTCACAGTGATGTTCTATTTCGGAATGAAAATGCCATTGCAGACGCATGCAGCCGAGGTGGCATATTGAACTTTTATTTGATTGGCATTAAACCAAGACAAATGTGGCATATATAATTAGTGTTTACTTACATGCTGATTTTATTTCATAAATACCGATTTCAATTGTTTGAAGGATGTGTAATGGAAAATCAAATCTGTTAAGAAAATTTAAATTCTCTCATTAAAATTTACCAAATCTGACAAATTCTCTCAGTAGCAAAGATCCCTGAACCTACATTAAGAGAATATACCTGTATACATTAAAAGAATACTGGTTAGGGACCACCAAAACCCGGACGGCCCCAAAAATGACAGATTTAGTTGTTTTCTTTGTTCAGTTGTTGTCAATCTATGAGTCACTTTTTTATCAACAATAAATACAGGTTTCTTCTATAATTAAACAAGCATTTGATAGTATTGCGGGCAATACAGTAGTCCCCTACCGGTCCCTCAAAAAGTTCTTTAATTGTCATACACTCCTGTGTATTGCCATTTATAATGAATTTGAGGATGAAGTCTGTATTTGAAAATATCAACCACAAAACATAATAAAATAAGTTTGTCTATATCACAGTAATGTGTTAAGTTTCCATGCTTAGTAAGGAAATTATGTTTATACAACCTTGTCATATTATTACGATGTGGGATTTTAAAGTAAATCCTATAAGGAATGAAGAAGTTGGAGTGAAAATACCAGTTTCTCGAAAAAAATTTAAGTTCAAGGGGGACATAATTCTGGAAATAGTCTTGCTAGAGTATTTAACCTTCTCAAAAATGTCGAGTGATAATAAGAAACATATATATGAAGTTTGAAGTAGATACATTAGGAAATAAAGAAGTTATTTAAAAAAGACAACATTTTTCCCCCTAAAAAATCTAAGTTCAAGGAGGTAATACTGATATTTTTTGTGCTAGAGTTATAAACCTTGTCACATATGATGTGGTTGATGACCAGAAACTTATATTTAAAGTTTGAAGTAAACACCTTAAGAAATAAAGAACATATAGTGAAAAAGCTGAAAAATTTAAATCAGAAATCTTGAAATTCAGGCTATTTGTTGCCATAGCAACCAGAATTTTCAACATAGGAAGAAAAGAAAAAGATGTGCATAATCTCCAGACTGCCATCTACCCATATTTCAAGTTTCATAAAAATATTTTCAGTACTTTTTGAGTTATCACTGGATCCAGTTTATGTGTTAAATTTGCCATATTTTCAGACTATTTGTTGCCATAGCAACCAGAATTTTCAACATAGGAAGAAAAGAAAAAGACGTGCATAATCTCCATACTGTCATCTATCCATATATCAAGTTTCATAAAAATATTTTCAGTACTTTTTGCGTTATCGCGGGATCCAGTTTTGTGGACGGACGGACTGACGGACAGACAGACAGACGGACGGACGGACAGACGGACGGAGGGTAAACCTAAAGTCCCCTCCGGTTAAACCGGTAGGGGACTAATAATCAAATTCATTTCAACTTTCATAAAGGGTAATATTTCAATGTCTATTTCAAGAATGTTGACGTGGGAAATTTGGACATCAAGAGTGCAATGCCTTATACTAGCTATAATCATTTGCAGAATAAACAATAGAATATTTAAAACTTCAGCATATGCTCCTGATATATTGTATATGATGTTAAAAGTTTAAAATTAAAACGCACAAGCTTTTATCTTAATTAAATCATTACATATCTGTACAGACACATGGTACTGTACTACGCACAATTTAGGTAATTTAGATATCCTGCTTGACAGGCCATAGACATAAGTGTCAACATAATTATAACTAAACAAACTAGAAAGTAGTTTGTTAGTTAGGAGAAGAACCTAGCTGTACGATGTCAAATTTACAGATCTGTAGCTTTGAAATTATGAAATCTATTATATGGAAAAATGTTCAAAAAGTGTCCTGTTGATTGTCTCTGACCAGTATACCTGTATACATTAAGAGAAAATACCTGTATTTTTCTGCCAGTTCTCTGTGAATATTGAGCAGACAATGTGTATTGTATATTCTCACAGGTTCTAACTTCACCGACTTTTTCTCCCTCTTTGAAGTCTTATCCAAACTTTTCCATTTTGTCTCTTGTAGGTTTCCATAGTTACGTGACTTTGTTCTTTGTCTCTGCAGATAGTTTTAAACAGATTTTATATAAATCTAGTACATTTGTAGCCCCATATGACCAGAAAACCAATCATCCCCTAGAGAACATGGGTTTAAATGTCACCAAAAGACGCACCCTATTGTGACTTTGACATTGTTAAATTATGAACGAGTAAATTATTTCCTGCCCCTGTGACAAAGATCTTGATTTAATCCTTAAACTCACCAAAGGATAAATGTCCATGCAAGGAAACTACATACAAACAAAATATTTGAAATATCTCACACATAAAGAAGTCTCAATGAGAACATGCATAGAAATCTATTTTATGCATCAATGACCTACACTCTCAGCAGGCTGAACCTTATTTGAATATAAAAGTGAGCAATAAATTCATCGAGAAATGAAAATAGAGTAATGAATTATCCAAGTACCTTATTATTAAACATATAGTAACTACTGATGGAGACAGGTTCAGCTTTCGGTGTTGGTGGACTTCTTGAAAACATAGTTGAAAATCCACTGGAACTCTGTGAGGCTCGAACTCGGTTTGTGGATGTGTAGGCAGCTAACTCTGACAGGGCTCTTTAACAAAAATAGAATTTTTTTACCTGCTATTTTAAAAATGAAATCAACAAGATTGCTAAAAACAAGAATCGGGAGAAATGATTGGTAATAAACCTAAATAAAATCTATTGCTAAAAGATATTTATTTGTTAATAACATTTCACCTAAGTTATTAAGTTTTAGCATTTCCCTAACTAATCATAATAATTTAGTGTGCTAATCTTTTTGAGAACGGGTAACCTTTATTGGGACCTTCTCATGCACAGATCATTATTACATTTAATAATTTTCAAGTTTAGAAATATTAACAGATCTAAACCTAATCTATATGCTGGTATAACCAAATTACAGAAAGTTTCAACAACAAAATGTAACAGAAAGATGAAGACAGTTTCTTAAAATACTATATTAAGCAAATAAATATTTACTCACTTTGGAGTTTTTTCTGAACCTTTGCTTGCCTCTCTTGATCTTCCAAAGCACACTAACATCCCTGTAAAGATAAAGCAAGAAATATTTAAATGAGCCGTGTCATGACAAAACCAACATAATGGGTTTGCGACCAGCATGGATCCAGACCAGCCTGCGCATCCGCGCAGTCTGATCAGGATCCATGCTGTTCGCTATCAGTTTCTCTACTTGTAATAGGGTTTGTAAGCGAACAGCATGGATCCTGATCAGACTGCGCGGATGCGCAGGCTGGTCTGGATCCATGCTGGTCGCAAACCCATTATGTTGGTTTTGTCGTGACACGGCTCAAATGTTCACTTGTAGGGTAAATGTACTGTAGTTTCCATGTTCCAACCATAAAGCTCAATTACTAGACATTAAAGGGACTCCACTTCAGATTTCTGACATGACTGGAAAGGAAATACTTATGATATTGAAAACCATTTAATTGATTTGGATACCATTTAATGAAGGTCTGGTCATCTGGGACTGACCAATAACTTGTGTGCGCTTTTAAGGTTATTTGCTCGCTTTTCTTGATCATTTTTATCGTGCAAAATGACCCCAAAATGAAAAGGATTTAAGATTCTTTTAACTCAAATTGAGTTGTGCAAAAAAATCAATTTTCAATTTATTAATACCCTATTTCTTTATCATTGTTTTAAATTTGATCTACATAACAAGAGCTGTCTGTAGGACAGCACGCTCGACTATTCTAAGTGCTTGATAGTAAAAGAGCCTTGATAATGTTAAATTTTTTAAGTTCACAAAAGGGCTAATTTTTTTTTATAAATTCATGTTATAGGCCTTAGAGAGAGTCTAATTATACAGTATTGGCTTGACTATTCGGAAGGTAATGTCACAAGGGTGTTTTATTGAGTATAATAATACTAATTACCTATGAATACATAAATTTGACAGAAAAGGTACAAAGGCTTGTTATTAAGATGTTTTATCAAGTAAATCACTGCTTTATTATTATGAATGCATAAAATTGTCCCAAAAAAGGCACAAACCCTTCAGTAGTTATTGAGATAACAGCTTACAAGCAAAACTTTACCATGAATTTCTAAGTTGAAAAAGGGGAGAAAAATCAGCCTAAATGCAAGATAGAATTATGGATCTTTGTCAGTGACCTACAATTATGACCCTAAATGCATATGTGAAGTTTTAAATAAATATCTTTAATAGTTATTGAGATATGTAAAACTTGCATGTAAACATTAACCAAGAGACTAAGTAGAAAAGGGGATATGAATCAGCCTCCAATTATGACCCTAAGTGCATGTGTAAAGTTTCAAGTAAATATCTTTGAAGACCTTTAACCAAAAAAATTTCTAAGTTTCAAAGGGGCAAATAATTCTGCAAATATTGCAGGCAGAGTTATGCAATTTTGCAAACTGATGTACATTGTTACTATAAAAAAGTATTTTAAATTTCAATTGAATATCTCAAGCAATAATTGAGATATTTGACTTTACAAAAAAACTTTAACCAAAATTTCTAAGTTCCAAAGGGGCATAATTCTGTCAATATTGTAGGCAGAGTTATCCAACTTGTCAATCTGATGTACCTTGTTACTATAAATAAGTATTGTAAGTTTCAATTGAATATCTCAAGCAATAATTGAGATATTTGACTTTACAAAAAACTTTAACCAAAATTTCTAAGTTAAAAAGGGGCATAATTCTGTCAATATTGTAGGCAGAGTTATCCAACTTGTCAATCTGATGTACCTTGTTACTATAAATAGGTATTGTAAGTTTCAATTGAATATATCAAGCAATAATTGAGATATTTGACTTTACAAAAAACTTTAACCAAAATTTCTAAGTTAAAAAGGGGCATAATTCTGTCAATATTGTAGGCAGAGTTATCCAACTTGTCAATCTGATGTACATTGTTACTATAAATAAGTATTGTAAGTTTCAATTGAATATCTCAAGTAATAATTGAGATATTTGACTTTACAAAAAACTTTAACCAAAATTTCTAAGTTAAAAAGGGGCATAATTCTGTCAATATTGTAGGCAGAGTTATCCAACTTGTCAATCTGATGTACCTTGTTACTATAAATAAGTATTGTAAGTTTCAATTGAATATCTCAAGTAATAATTGAGATATTTGACTTTACAAAAAACTTTAACCAACGCAGACGCCGACGCGGACGCGGACGCCGACTCGGGGCGACTACAATAGCTCTCATATTCTTCGAATAGTCGAGCTAAAAATCTTTTCGTATTTAAGTGAGGCCCACATGGAAGATCGGGAAACCGAATATGCTAGACTCATTAAATAAAGCCATTACTTACTTACTAACTTAAAGGAGCTACAAGCTGTAATAACTCGCTAAATCAATCAGTGTCATGTTAAGCTCATTGTTAAGCACATTGGCATCTGACAAGATGCTATGCAACAGGCTGCTCAATCTTAATTCAAAACAGGACAAGTCCGTAACACAAATTCAGGAGATTAAACAACTTAGCTGAAGCTTGGATAAAGTTTTCCCAACTGTGCTGAGCAAATGTCACTCAGTCACTACATACTCAAAATTTTCCCTTCATATGATGAATGATCTAGTCCATAATGAAAGATGGACAAGTCCATTTAAGATACTTAGCATAGTAAAGGCTAACGTTTCTTCTCATGTACTGAGATGGGATCACATTAACTCCTATTAACTCCTAAGGCTTGAAGATTTTTCTAAAAATACCATACCTGCAGAATTAAACTGAGCGCCGCATGTCCTAGGAAAAGGAATGGAGTAATCTTGAAATGCTGCGAATGGCAGTTGTTGCATAAATGACTGTTGGAGTTTATTGGTTGTCGGTGCAAATGTGTCCGAGTCTGGTGTCTTCCTTTCCTCCAACTGTAATAGAGAGTGGTTGTTTTGTGATTATTGTGGCCTAACATTTGAGCAAAAATCTTTTTACAATAGTAAGATAGACAATGGAATGGACAATGCCAAATTCAAAGACAGGTAAGTTCATTCTACAAAGTCAGCAATTTTACAATTTGTGCAATAAAAGAGTGCAAATCAGACTTAAAACTGCTTGTTGAAAGAGCAACTTTCTTTATCTGATCAATCAACCCTACAGCACAGAAAGTTACTTACCGTCATGTTTTCAAAATGTGTGGCAAACTGTCGTATACATGGCTCCAGGCAATTCAGATTCCTTTTTATGTTCGTCTGTGATGTTTCATTTAATACCTGAAGATAAAAAATCAAAAACAATATATTTCATAACAGAACTAATATATTTCTACACAATGTTTCTAATCATAATGAATAAGTATAAATAACTTGGCAGACTCCAACAACATATGATGTAAAACTGCAAGAACATATTTCTCTTCTAAAAGCATGTACATCTTCAGTCTGAAGGTTTTTTTTCTAAAGTGCAATTATCTCCCTTCCAAATCTGCTAATATGATAACTAATAAAGCTGTGGTGAAATTGTCTAAATTCAAAAAAAAAAACCTGACCCTTATAGAACAAGGTAATTTAGGGGTCAAGGTCAATTTTAAATATGTCTTATGACCCTAGCGTCAACTTGTATGTTGTATCAAAGTATTTGATCTCTTAAATAAAATATGTAATTATGGTGAAATTGTCAAAAAATTTTAAAACCCCCCCCGACACTTGTAGAACAAGGTAATTTACAGTAGGGGCCAATTTAGGGGTGAAGGTCATTTTCACATAATATTAAGTCTCATGAACCTAGCCTCCACTTGTATGTTACAGTCAAAGTATTTTATCTGTTAATAAAATATGTAATTATGGTGAAATTGCATGAATTTCAAAGTTCTGACCTTTGTCATTCAAGGTCAAGGTGAACACAAATCACTTCTTCACTGACATGTAGTTTCAAAGTACGAAAGCTGTGACTCACAGAATAAAGATCTAAGAACCATAGACTGACAACAGAAAAGACAAAAACCATAAGGCCACGGATCATTCAATTAATTTAGTAAACTGTATCAAATAAATCAAAACCACTCACCTTATAAAGTTTCTTTACAATGCCTAATCCGACATTGGTTGGGGAATGAATTTCAAAATTCGGAGCGGAAACATGAGGATAGTTTGCCGGGAAATGTATCGTCAAGTTTATTATATGTTTTCCGGAACTAACAGAGACTGAGCACAACCGTTGAGATCCATCCATCTAAAATAAAGCAGTTATGTGAAATATAACACGGTTATTCGAAATATAAAACAGTTAGCTGAAATATGAAAACAGATATATGAAATATGAAAACAGACATGTGAAATCTTTTTTAAGTATTACATGTAATAATTGATTAAATGAGACATGCAAGACTTGGTAACATATTTGACTGTTGATTAACCAAAATTTTCTTGCGTCATGCAAAATGTTCAAAGACTTTAAAGGGACTCCACTTAAGTATTTTCACATGACAAGACTGGAAACCATTTTTAAAGATTTTTATACTTTCCGATGTTGGCTCCTCCAGAATTATCAATTTTATTGTGCACAATGACTTCAAAGATACGTTCGAATTGTCCTAGTTTCAATTTTCTATTTCATTTAGAGCATATTATGCACAAAAATAAAATGCGCATGACACCAGGCTAAAAATTGCCCTGATTTCAATTTTCTATTTAATTTCGAGCATATTTCTTTGATAACCTTTTCCATATTTTCCATTCTTACTAACCAAGTTGGTCTTTGTTACATATTCAGAGTCTATGCTTTTAGGCTTTTGGACCTAAGTGGAGCTCCTCTAATGAAAATTTATTTATAACAAGTCACATAGCTAGTATTTTTTCCAAATCTTACCTTATCAATGGTAACATTGGGAATGTGCTGATTGACCATTGAGAACTCTTGATACAATGTCATTGGCTGCTGATGAGAAAAACTTTCTGATTGGTTGCTATTTTTAGCACCATTGATTTCTGGATGCGTGTGGGAGTGGCCATTTTCTTTGATGGTTTCTGAAGAATCATGGGTTGATGACTCATTTTCTGAGGAATCTAGCGTCTCATGGCCACACATCTGGAAAAAAATAAATAACAATTTTACTTTTTTGCATACCTGTACAATCACATTAAATGAAAACATATGAAGTTAAAATTTTTGTCACTGTTATTTGTTTAAGTTTATTATAGGATGATACCTAATAAAGCATAGTCACACGTATTAATGGTAATTACAAAACATCCCATATTTTCTTGGACCTTTTATAGCTACACACGACTTTAGAGAGAATCATATTGGTATCAGGAATTCAAAAGAATATACAAACTTCCATCACTAGGATAGAGAACTCTACATTGCTACCAAAAAAACATTCAACTAATCTATATGCGAGTCTCTTATTTAATGTCAGTTGTATATACTCAGACATATGTTGGTTTTGCTCTTGAGTAGGGGAGCTTTATTTCAATACTCAGGGTTTCCATTTTTATCTGAGACAACAGATGTGCCAACGAAAACAGCCAATTTTGCCAAGGGTCAAGGGGGATATTTTAATCTACAAGCTGAAAATGCAACTGATTTTAACAACATTTCAACTGATGATATGGACTGCCAATCTGTTTATAATGAAAAAGTTGTAATGCATGTTGTTTTTTCTCTCAACCATTTTGGTAATGGGTCTGCCAAAATGCAAATAATTCATTTTTTGTTTGTTTTGGGTTTTACGTCACATCGACACAGTATAGGTCATATCGCGACGTGCCCTTCCGTGCATTATTTCAGGCACGAACGGGTACCTGAGTAGAACCACCGACGTTCCGTAAGCTAAAATAATTAATTTAGAAACAGTCAAAAAAAAAGCTGCAACAACAGTCAAATTAAATATATATGCAGTAAATGGGAATCCTGTGACTTCATTTTTGGAAAAATAGTATATACAGGTTCATCTCAAGAGGGATAACACACTGTGATTTGTACAGACCATGTCAAAGCATAGCAAAATGCAAATATTGGTTCATATATTGTTATGTATACATCTCAGACAATAATTATAGAATATTCAGAGATGATCTCTACAGTGATCTAGAGTTAACATCAGTTACCTCGACAGATACACTGGAGTTCACCTCATATTCGCCTTTAATTCATCATTGATGCTGGGAGATTAAGCTGACATTTTTTTTTTTAATAACATGTAAAATTTTTTTATTCCATTTGTATCAATATCATATATACTGTTGTGTTAGGATTTGTTTATAACATCGATTTTAACACATGTCTGGTCATATCTTGGCGGGCAGTCCGAATTTCATGGATATTAACCAATTTCTCTGCTAATGACCAACTTCTCATTCAATATAATTTCTGAATCAACTCTTTAATAATTATGAAAATTAACATTTTGATGGCTTTATCTTCTCTAATTTTATGAGTAAAAAAATTGTTCAATTTGGCACTACGGCCCAAGCCAATAAGGACAGGAATTAATAATATAGAAAGGACCTTAAAGCCTCTTTATGTAATGATATTATCATTGGAAAGAAGGGATATCATTTTTAACTGTCATACATGTATTTCATTTGTGAGGTGAGCTCATTTTTTTTTTAAAGAAAAAAGTATACCCTCTGTAGCTGCGGGTCCACCTTCCATATCTTCAGAGTCTGATCCTTTGACCATGTCACAAGTTGATAATCTCTAGTCGCTGAAAATGAAAATAACCTTTTTTTACCACCTTGTTGACGATATGGACAATGTATCAATAAATGTGTTTACTATTTTATTCAAATATGGCTCCTTTCATTGCAATACCCCAGCACTTATTAAAAATGTGACATAGTGAACAAGTGTCTTGCGCGATTGACTAGAAATCTAAGAGGGTTAAAATCCTTTCAGGAGCATGCTGTTGCTTCTTTTAACAAGAAACTTTACACTCATTACTTATTACTGGTTGGTTTCCAGGAACTGTTTTAACAAGAGCTGTCCGTAAGACAGCGCGCTCGACTTTTTTATTGCTTGCCAATAAAAAAAGTTTTTGCAGTAAAAGGCAATACAAGAATCTCTGTATTTTTAAAGTGAACAATGGCCATGAGCATTAAGATATTTAGTGAAGAATTATTTTACTGAATTGTGTGATACCCTTGAACACTGCAGGTTCAGTGGATAGGAATGAATTTTTTTAGATTTTTTAAGTTTTTTAGTGCTTGCCTATAATACAAAACATTGACAGTTAAGGGCCATAATTCAAATAAAATCTTTGACAGAATTACCTTCTCCTGGACATGTTTGGGAATCATGATTGTAAACAAGTATTCACACTTTCAAATTAATATCTCAAACAGTTCAGTCAAAAAGTGGACTGGTACTAAAAACTTAACAAGATTCTAAGTCGATAAAAGGCCTTAATTTTTAAAACAAATCCTTGACAGAGTTACCTTCTCTTGCGTACAGATGGGGGTAATGATGTGAAATAGCATTAAAAGTTTCAAAGCAATATCTCAAAGGGTTAAGGCAATAAGTGGATTTTACCCATATTCAATGTATTTTCTAAGTCAAAAAGGGGCATAATTCTGTCAAAAACCTTGACAGAGTTATGTCCTCTTGTCTGTTGATGAAGGTCGTGATGGTAAACAAGTATGGTCAGTTTCAAAGCAATACCTCCAATGGTTTTGAAATAAAGTGAGGTGGTACAAAAAACTTAACCAAGCTCAATACACTTTCTAAGTCAAAAAAGGGCCATAATTCTGTCAAAAACCTTGACAGAGTTATGTACTCTTGTCTGTAGATGGAGGTTATGATGGTGAACAAGTATGGTAAGTTTCAAAGCCATACTTGTAATACTTCTGAAATAAAGTGGGGTGGTACGAAAAACTTAACCAAGGTGTGACGCCGACGCCGACGCCGGGGCGAGTAGGATAGCTCCCCTTTTCATAGAAAAGTCGAGCTAAAAATGTATCTATTAACTTATAGCTTTCTATACAATCAAACTACAATAAGGTCTGTTTAAATTGATCATTACTGAGATTTGAAAAAAAAAAAAAACACAAAAAAATCCAAAATAAATGCAATACACAGCGCTAATATGAAAGGATCATTTGCAAATAACAGTAAAACATCTTACATTCGTCTTTCTTCCTCCAGTAGAATTCCAGGACAACATCACTATGGCCTATAAACTGATGGGCCGGTTGCTCGAGATTAGAGTTGTTCCACAAAAACAAACTGTTTTCTCCTCGTCTTAACGTAGACATCACTGCCGTCACTAAGCCATCTCCAAAAGGCTACAAATATACCAAGTATGTCTAGTTTAATAGTTGAAAAATTGATAAAATAATAAATAGGAAATAAGAATAGATTTGTTTATTTCTTAATGTTTTTTTTGTCACACTGTCAAAGTATAGGTCATATGGCAACATTCCAACTTCACTGGAGGAAGACCTCAGGCGCCATTCCATGCATTATTTCAGGCATGACCAGTCACCTGAGTAGAACCAACAAAATAACAATAAACGATTAATACTTAAAGGATACAACACAACTTGAGAGGGTTTTTTTTTTCAAGCATTCATTTTTTTTTAACTGGATTTAATGTCACACCAACTCTGTCATGGTCATAAGAGTTTAAGACAACTTTCCAGCTTTACTGATGGATGAAGATCTGTGCAAATACCTTGTGCATTTCTAAATCACAAACTGGTACCCGAGTAGAACCACCACTAACTGAATAGCTTATTCTCATAAAAGAATTCATTGTCCACAATGAGATTCAGACGTGTTACATTTAGACTCAAAGATTTTCCTAATTTAGCCATGGACAACAAAATTACAATATTTTAGATAACAATAATGAATATTTGTCATCAAGCTTAGACTAAGATATTGAGAAAAAAAATCTGCAAAGAACGCCGAATATGGCAAAATTGAAAATGTTGCAGGCTTGGTTTGATTGAGTTTGTTCATGGACAGTAGTGATTTAGTGCTGGTACGTATCCCTGGCACTGGCATAAGCAATATTTAACATTTTAAAATGAAATCAGCCGTGTCACGACAAAACCAACATAATGGGTTTGCGACTAGCATGGATCAGGATCGCGCAGTCTGATCAGGATACATGGTGTTCGCTATCAGTTTCTCTACTTGTAATAGAGTTGGTAAGCGAACAGCATGGATCCTGATCAGACTGCGCGCATGCGCAGGCTGGTCTGGATCCATGCTGGTCCCAAACCCATTATGTTGGTTTTGTCATGACACGGCTCAAATGTTAAAATTTGGGATTTCCTATTCAACTCATTAATATTAATACATTCAGCTAAGATAAGAGATAATAAGATGTAATATATATCTGAACATTCCCCAAAAACATGCCATTCATTCAATTTCAAACTTGGTGGTTCAAATACCTAAATAAATGTAGCTGGGAAAAGAAAGGGGAAACTTGGTAATACTGATATATTAACTTACTGTGAATCGTGCACGCCAAACCGGAGAGCCGGATTTCAACATGCCTTTATCTTGTCTTGTATTGGAACAATCCCAGAACTAAAATACATGTATAAGAAATACAAATCACTTCCAGTAATTAATACCACATCTGACATATCAATAACACTGTTTTCTTCAGGCTATTTTTAACTGGGTTATAAACATATAAATCTGAAACATACATCAGTTAATTGCTTTTAATCAAAATAATATCATTCTTGTTTATATTGTTTTTCACTTCATATTTTTGATGTACTTGTCCATCTTTCAAGCTGAACAAAACCATTAATCACTTTTAGTGAAATTTTTTAAATACATGTACGTATTGGCCAAATAATAAAACTCAGTGCAGACTGATCAGATGGCATAGATATGCTTAATGATCTTGGTCTGCCCTGGTCCTATTGGTAAATGTGGCCACCAGCAGGCTAAGAGATAATATGTACAACAGTTAATAATGACATAATTAGAGGAACAATGTACAATAAAATATGGATATCCTACCTTCACAGTACAATCTTGACTAGCGGAAGCAAATATATGCTCATTAGAAGGGCTCCAGTCTAAACCATGAATTTTGGATAAATGTGCAGTTAGGTATAACACAGCTGTATTAGGCTTCTGTAAGTACAAGAAAAATATATATGTATAACTGATTAACCATCCATCTTTCAAACACAAGACTTTTCATTATTTAAAGGAAAATTTCATAATATGTATCAACTGAGTTTGACAAACATATCGGCCTGCACTGTTCGCATGGGTAGAATCTGTTGCTGCCAGATGATAGGTGTTAACACTGTTACTTATATCGCTTAAGAGCTGAGGGCCATTTCAGCAAAATTTTGGTTCAAATCTGAAACTTACACCAGAGCAAGTATATAGTCTCTCCTTTACAAAAATCCAAATCTTACAAAATTTTGCAGTATGGGTATAGATTTTATTATGGTAGATTTTACAGCAAAAATTATGCTGTTTTCAATAAAAAGGTGTACAAACATTTTAAAATTAATCTATAATCGAAAAAGAAAATTAGCTTGATAAGAGCTGTCAATAGGTTAGCATGCTTCACTATTTTCTGGGCAGTTAAAAACAAGAGCCTTGATAATATAGGAATTTCTAAGTTCAAAAAAGGCCATAATTCTGCCAAAATCCATGTTAGAATTATAGGCCTTGGGTGTGTGAAGTTTTTAACCCATTTCCTTTCATAGTTTCACAGATACAAAGTTGCATGCAAAAACTTAACCAAAGTGTGACACGAATGCCTGGGTGAGTACAATAGCTCTCCCTATTCTTTTAATAGTCAAAAAATTTGTCATCAAGGCAATATCCAATCAAAAGTCTGCACCTTCATAAGTTCTTTCTTTAAGTTTTTACACCATTAATCTTCATTGTATGTATGACTACTTTTATCACTGAATCATTGTTTAAACCTTCATAAAATGTTTTACAAGTTTTTTTCACACAATACTGTATAGTAACAACAATATTACCAAATAAAGCCTTCAAACTATCTGAACATTATCATAAAATTCAAGAGGTACAAATGAAGTAAAACTGACCCTAGGATCCCAGATCCTGACATCACCCTCATGGGCAGTAGCAAACAGATTGTTGGTCACTTTGTTCCATTTCACCTGTGTGGCTCCACCTGTTATACAACATAAGTGATTTATAAAATAGTAGTACACTAACAATTTTCCTGCCTAAAATATTGGTAAACCCATCATCATTTTCACAAGATATGTAGATATGTCTTTCTCGCTTAATTGGGAAGAGGCCTGAGTCTTTTGATTTTGTTTTGAATTGTTGCTAAAATTGCTAATTTTGGGAAGTAAAATAACAGGTGTTAGTTCAAATCTTTGGGAAAACTGCATGATTTTACAGAAAAATTCCATTGGGAAGAGGTTTTTTTTTAAGAGGCCTTTGTTATTTAAGGTGAAAAATCACTGGTATATTAGTGAACTATAATTTCTTGACCTTTTAAGGTTTTTTTTTATTAAAGGAATTGAAGACCATCCGTCACTGGTTGTCACTGGTTGTCGATAGAAAAAGTGCTAATAGAAATACATAAGCACTGGCCAACTAATGTAGCAAGAATACTGCGAGCAATAATCATACTCCAAATATTAATTTTATTTCAAACTTAAAGAAGAAGTGTCATACATTTACTTACAAACACTTTGAAAAGAAGCACTTGGTCTCTTTGTGTCCCTGACATCCCACAGCAGCGTGTAAGCATCCACTGAGCATGATGCTATAACGTTTACATCGAATGGGGACCAGTCTATATCGCTAAAAATATCAGATTAAAATTTACAAGCAAGATATGTCAGTAACCAATTTTCACTATAAACTATTTCTCTGTTATTTTCAATACCCCATGAGAAAACTAACTAGTTTATTTTTGTTGACTTGCTAATGCTAATTTTGGCCACTGAAACAGTGATCAAAATTGTTTACACATGAAGTTTAAATATAAAAGCTAGGGGTATCCATGGCCAAGTGGTTTAAAGGTCTATGACATCAAAGTACTTCCCTTCAATGCTGTGGGTTAAAATCCTGCCATAGACTTTGGATCTTTTCCTGTGAGAAAGCTATCCAGTAAGCTTATGAAACTTCAATAGTTCAGGTGCCCAACTGTGCCTGAAATAAGCCTTGAAGGGGCACCTGAGGCCTCCTCCGCCAGTAAAGCTTGAAAGTCGCCATAAGACCTTGACAGTGGTGGTCCGACCTAATATCCCCCTCACCCTAACAAAATCTTATTACACAAACATTTGACAGACAACCTTAGTCATCAAATGTATTTGAGAAATTTACTGAGTGAAAGCTTTGGAAAAAGACATACTGCGAGAAGTAAAATCTTGCCATATACATATAAATCAAATCATGTTTACAATGTAGTACCTGATATTTCTAGAATGAGCCTTCATACTACATGACTGTTTACTGGAACCATCTGCCCACGAAAAAAGGTCCAACCTCTGTTTACACTGAATAAAATAGCAAAAACAAAATAAAATTTGCAATATACATCTCTGTATTTAAAATACCTGTACAGAAAGTATCTAAATAGGTTACTTCATATACTGGTAGTCAAAAAATAGGAAAAACATGTATGTTTGTAAATAGCTTTTTGTTTATAATTGGCTTAAAAAATTTTTGCCTATTTTAATAAATTAAAATACTTTTGATGTCTGTAAAAATACTTTTCAATGTGTGCAATTTCCATTCTGTGCATCGTTTTTCTAAAATCTTAATTCATTAAGTAATTCTAACCTTTATAATAAAACACTATTCAAAAGTACATTTAATCAGACTAGCCTACTTTAGGTTAATTAATGCATAATTTACGCTAATACATATTTTAGGCTTATGCATATTTACGCTAATACATAATTTAGACCAATCATAAATTTTTTAATGCATACATCTAAAATGTCTGACATTTGCCAATTAATGACTAAAGTGTATTGACCCAAGCTTCATAAAGATGATTCAGGAAACATAATTAATTTCTATGATTTCTAAAATATGAAATGGGTAGTTCACTTTACTTACAGTAGCTGCAAAGAGTTGCGCATGTGAGGCATGGGGATTCCATTGTATGCATGTTATGTCCCATTTACTTTGTCTAGTTAGTCGATGCATTTTCTCTAATGGATCATCCAAGTCAACCAGGCCGAGAACCCTTCGTCTTTAAAAGATAGAAAATATAATATATGATGGAAAACATTAAAGCATGCATATTGTCACCTTAGTGCAATAACTGATTAACTGCTATTAAATTAAGGACTTATTCCATTATTGCACTAAGGTGATTATATCTATTGAATTCTTTCCATTGCCCCTTCACTAAAGAGTTGTTGCTTCAATAATAGGGTCAAGAACTTAGTAGAGAAAACAATTATAATTTACCAGTCTTCAGCATATCTTTCAAATACTGTTACAATTTAGTAATTTACTATCAAAATACAATTTAACTGATCCTCACCACTAACCAGTGAGTGCAGTTTTGAAACACACTCACCAAAACAAAATTCTTGAACGCAGGAATGTTATCTACGTACCCCTAAAAATGTTTATCACTAACAGTGTGAATACTTGCTTGAAAATATCATTGTGCACAAAAGGACATCTCAGGGTATCCTTGTACGCTTTAAGGCAAAATGTTGTCTTAAATATACCCTTTAAAATATAGGTACATTTGCAATGTCCCAGTAAACATACTGTATTAAAAGCAACTGTTGCATTATAATGTTTAAACATTTTATCACTCTATCCATTATGGACCATCAATATCATAAAGTGAAGATATAAAATTTTCTTTGTGATAAATATTTCACTTACCCTGCCAACAGTGCCCACTTGCCCAAGCAGTCAACTGCCATAGTGTTTGCCTGTAATCAAGTGTAAAAAGTATTTTAATTTTCAATTAAAAGGGTGTAAGACTGATTTAAGGTACTGAATTGAGTCCTTTATTACATATACATGTAGTTATAACATTATTTAAGTCAATAAGATTTTACATAATGATGTCAAACCTATCACACTCACAGGAACGTACCTGCTGGGAGTACCATTTTAAGAATGGTAAGCCATAAAATGGACCTTTGATTTTCATTGTGAAATTTTAAGTTTTCTTGAAGTCCAAGTCAGGCTTACTGGTTACTGTCACTTTTGTGAGAATTATTTCCCCTTTTTTATGTTAATATATCACATAATTTTTGAAGTCCTTAAAAAATATGTTACATATGCAAAGTATAAAACAAAATAGGTTAAATTACTTCTTTATGCTCCAATTCATTGCGCCAACACCTGTACACATACATTTCACTCAGTTTTCAAAGAAAAATTCAAAGTACAATGTTCCGAGTGAGTGTCAAAGAAATGTCAAAATATTTATTGCAGAAACAGAATATTAAGGTATAATATAAAGGTACTGGCGTAATAATCTGGAGCAAATTGAAGTTGTTGGACACATTTCTGTTAAAATTTTACATTACAACATATTTTCTAAGGACTTCAAAAATTATGTTTTATATAAACATGAAAAAGGGGAAATAATTCTCAAAAAAGTGGCAGTAACTAAATATTATTCTTTTTGTTCATGTCATATATTATGCTCAATAAACAAATGAAATTTAAATGAAATATCTTCATTATTTTTCAAGATATATGATTTTTTATGTCATAAGCCCAATTGGGCATATTCACCAGCCAGTTAAAAAAAAATAGGGAGCAAAATATTGACTGTGACGGTAAATACGCTATGGTGAGTTACATAACTTGTGCATATTTTATATATCAAACGGGTGCTGGATTGAAATTTTGAGAGATTAACTTATGATAATTTTACCATTATTGACAAGACGAATGTGCCAAACACTTGTGTTATAAAGGTGCTAGGTAGTAATTCTCTATATGATTATTAAAGGGACAATATGTTCGGATATTTTATTCATTATTTACCAGACAAATGTGCCACACTTATGAAAAAAATACCTTAGTACGAATAAAATTGAGGGCGAATGTATGTTGGTTTCAGATCATAATTGAAAAATGCAGAGTTATGAACGACTGATTGTGATTCATATGCTTTAAATACTGCACAATGTTGCAGAGTTCTTGAGAGCATAGTTGACATTGGATATAACAGTTTGACAAAACATATTACTTGCAAATCCCCATAGTCAAAAGAGACAGTTTCGCCCCACTGCGAAGTCATTTTTGATGTCGTAAAATATTCACTTTCGATCGAGATCGGCTAGTTGAAATATTACTAAATTTGAGACTTATATTTATTTTTTTAAAGAAATTTGTATCCGAAACTGTTTATGAAATGTTTCTACTCATCTTTGTTGTTTCTATAGATATTTAAAAAAAAACTGGCAACACGACATCCGCAAAAGATATGACAGGAAGTGAAAGTTGTAAACTTTTTTTTCTAACCAGCAAATATGTGTTCCAATTAACAGACTGAGAATGTGCGTTATTTGACAACGTTTTAGAAGAATGAATTGATTAAATTGCAATAAGATTATTTAACTCCTCGATGGAAGTGATTTTAGCAGTAGTTCGTCCAAAGCAGAATGTATCTGGGCAAGATTACAGGGCAAAATTGTATGATATTTTGTTACTGGACCATAAAAATGTTGATAGGCATGGGAAGCAAAAGTATTTTCCATCGTTTCACCTTACAGTGGAAAAGGAACCTAGAGATCTCATTCTTTCACATTTATATACAATAACAGGTGGAGATCATGTTGGGATTAAGGGGGAGAGAGCCCTTATTGTTCCATGGACTAAAGATGGACAGCGATCTTCTCTCTCAAGGTTTACACTCTATTGCATTCCCATAAGCCCGCGTGATAAGTTAAACAGTGTGTTTGTTGATAAATCACCAAACAGTCCCGGATTTTATTCATTGGAAACACTGCTTCATTCATTGAACTCATCAATGAATTTTCCTCCGCCAACTAAAACTTGTGTAATGCAAATAGACAAATGGCTGAAAGAAAAACATTCAAAACCTGGTGCTTTAGAATTAGTTTTTCGCTCAAGAGCAGATTTCAGAGTCAAATTTACAGTTAGTAATCCTGCATTTCTTCCAATTAGTATGGGTCTTTCAGACAGCACTGGATCTTCATCTACCCTTTATCTAAGAACGTTGATGAGTGACTTCCCGGAAGAAATAAGGATAGCAGCTAATGAATATTCTGCGAAGATGATGGCAATTGAAAAGTGCACTAAAGTTGTGATGAATCCATTATTTGGAACAAATCTTGTACCTGGAAACAGACCTTTGAGAACTGTTCCTTGTCCCCCACCTGATTATATAAAATCTGTAACTAATTCAAGAAAAAGTAGTTTGAATAGTTCAATAGACCCAGATAGCTATTCTTTGGAAGAAAGAGAATTATACCCGGTGCATATGTTTGCTGCAAAAGGAGATGTGTCCAAAGTTCGGGATTGTATTTCAAGGCATTATCAGCTTGCTATGAGAGATCCCTATGGTTGGACACCGATTCACTTTGCAGCATGGTTTGGCTATGAAGAAATTGTACAGATGTTGCTGAATGCTGGATGCTCACCAAACGTTCTCAATTCAGATGATCGCACTCCGCTACACCTGAGTGCTATAAAAGGATACCCGGCTGTAGTGAAAGTTTTGCTGAATCATCCAGAGTTAGACATCAATCTTGTGGATAAGAAAGGTAGAACAGCATTTGAAATGTGTGAACAGAAATTTAGTTTGGAGCATAAAGAGGTAGCAAAGTGTCTAGTGAAAGCAGCAAGACAGCCAAGACAAATACAGGTAAGCATTAGAGTTTTTATTTCAGGAGATTGTTTAAATGATTGTAAGAATTTGCCTCTTTCTTAACTATGGAAACAGTAAATTTATTTCAAATAAAGGAAGAACTTTTATTTAAACTCCTAAGAATTGATCATGATTATGAGTGTGTGAGTGTACTTTTAAAGCGTGAAGACAATTCAATTTACACTTTAGTTTACTTGATTCATTTCTAGAAAATTCCTGTTTACAAAAAGCTTCTATATACTGTATTGAAATTGAATTCTTGTAATGATTTTCACCCTTTGCAGGTCAAGGTGACTTTAGGTCTGCAGAATTATTTTATATTTCTTCGGTGGGTAACTTCACATCCTTAAATCATTGGACCATACCTGCATTTCTTATTTTATTACTCAGGTATTGACAATGGATGGAAACAGTATCAGCTTGAACCTTATTGATGGAGCTAACACAACTGTGCAGCAATTGAACCAACAGATGCTGAAAGAATTCAATATGCCGGAGATTCCATATGCCGATATTTTCACAATCTGGATATGCTCCCCAAGTCTAGAGCTACAGCTGAAACCAGAACATAAACCCCTAGAGCACATGAGTAGCTGGCAGTACAAGATCGTCGGAAATTTGACTGATGGAGATCCAACACAGGAGGAACCACATTTAAAATGGAGACGAAACGCAAAAATTAGTTTAATTGTTGAAAGAGTTGTGGATCACCCTCATGCTGTAAGACTTTTGTTCCATGAAGCTAAACAGAATTATATAAATGCTTTCTACCCATGCAAAGAGCCAGATGTACTGCTTTTTGGCTCCATACTTCTGTATCTCAGCCACAGCTCAGACCAACAGTCTGCCAGATCTTTTGTTTCTACTCACAGAAACTTACAACAGCTTGTGCCCCAACCAAACTTGAAATCAAAATCAAACTGGGGAAATCGTATCTATCACAAGTATCGTGATCTCTGTGCAAAAGATCAGCCGTTGCGGACACAGGTGCTACAACTTGAGTTTCTCAATAATTGTCGCAATTTGACTGTGTACGGTTCTGCTTTTTTCACTGGTGACCTACAAACCGGTAACCCACGGCAACAAGGAAAATGTTTTATTGCCGTTAATGACGTAGGTATACACATCATAAACTTTCAGAGCCGTGTGATGCTTCACAGCTACAAATACTCTGAAATTAACTGGATTCTACCAAATGAATATGGTATGTTAGAACTAAATGTAGTCAGAAGTGTTCCACGTCAAGGTGACAGGCATAATTCACTAAATCCGTTGAAACTGAGAACCAAACAGGCAGGAACAATTAATCATCTGATGAAGAAATTATCACGCATTACTTACGGAATCATGACCAGACCCCTTAGTGTTGAATAGGACAGATCTAGTATTATTTACTATTACATAAAGGGCGTCTTGTGTAGAAACATCAGTGTGAATTACTTTCAGAAATCTCAGTTAAAAGGTCTTTATGCTGTTGTCTCAAATTCTCATTTCATTCAAACATATTCTCTTTTCATTTTATCAGGATTTTTTCTCTCTCTTTTTCTCCAAATAGCCAGAGAAGTACAGTACTTTGTGCTCAGAATTTACTACAAAGTTTAACTGGAATCAGTCTAAGACTTAAATGCATATCATTGGTTGATTCCAAGTACAGCTTATAAATTGACCAATGGCAGGGTTACAAACATTTGCAACAAATCAGACTGGTCCCTTAAAGCTTGTTTAATAAACTTTTAAAATGTAACAGGTCTACATGTACAATGAAATGTAAAGTTTTACTGTTAAGGAAGTTGAGATAAAAACGAATTTTGTCAACATGTGCTGTTCACCTGAAGTTTGTTTGTATTTAGATAAGGTAATCGAGGAAAGAGAAGTTTGTTTATGTTAGGCTTTCTAAATGTCATCTTGAAGTTTATTGTTGAGAAAACAAAGATACCGTTTGTGACCTTTTAGTGATAAAATGAGACTTTTATAAACCTACCCCTTTACCTTTTAGATGACAGCTTCCAAGTATTAAACTTTTTGTACTTTGTAGCTCTTTTTCTCTCAGTTTTATTGAATTTGCAATGAATTTATTATACCCATTATATCTGCATAATGACATATTCTTAGTTCAGCAAATACAAAATTTATCAATTTTTAATCAATAACAAAATATATATTGCACATTTAAGTGTATTAATTAACAGGGTATTTTTTGTTCAATAATAACATTAGGTTGTACCAGAAACGAAGCAATTTTCAAAATTTTTGATAAATTTTTGATAATCTTATTACTACATGTATGATAATTATGTACTATCCATGAAAAAAGTTTGTGGTACATAATGTATATCAATTTGTTTACTTTCCTGTATTCAATTTTCATTTAATGATAAAGCAGCACGCCTCCAGCTTCAATGTTAATTTTCATGAAAATTTTGGAAATGTATTTAAAAAGTAAAATATTGTGAGGTAAACAAATAAAGTAATTTACATATTGCAATCGGCACTAACAATCTAAGAAAATTACTGAAAAAGTGGTCAACATATGCAAAAACAGCTCTTTCTGCATTAGTAACGCAGTAGAAATATGGTGATAAAATACTGCAAAGCCAGTCTTAAACGACATATAACATGTGAAATATAATTTGGATCTTGAATGTTTTTTACTTTTCTTAATATTTTTGTATATTTTTCTCAATATTGATTTTCTTGAAATATTTTGGCTCATCTGGAGGTGTGCAGCCTTAAGTGTTACATGTACATCTTTAATTTACAGTAGTCTTTCATAGCATCAAAGTTTGAGTGAATGATTTAGGAAAATGTCATCTATCATCTAGGTTAATCTGTTACATGTGCATTGTACATACATGTACAAAAATACATGTACATGTAGGTGGTGCTATGTATGCAAATTAGCACAATGTTCAGATTACTGCAGGGACCCAGTAAATGCGTGGACTTCTACACTTGAACTTTGTCCTGTTATGTCTTTACATTTTAAAAAGGCCACTATCAAACTATAGAGAATCAGTGGACATTGCAATACCACCTGTCTTTATGTAACAAATTGAGCACTTACACTGTTTTATTACCATATTTTAGAGACGGCTTATGGCAATATTGGCCATTCTTTCTAGATACCGGTCTTTTGAGATAGGTTTCAGTGGTACAATTACATGTACAGTGATTTGCTTAATTGTTTTGCAATTTTTTTCTGCAAGAAAGAAATGCTTTTGCGAAATGAAATGTTGGGAAATTCTCAGAATTGGAAATTTTCAACACTTTAAGCTGTGGAGATAATGAAAAAATTCTGCTTGATCAAAAAAACAAACAAAAAAACACTGAAACTATTATGAGCTTCATTTATATTAAATGAATACATGTTTATGGTGCTAGCAATATATGTTCTTGAAAATTTTCAAGATGCTATAATACATGGGTTTTTGTTTGGGCATAGGTTTGAAGGCATTTTGTTTTGTTGAATTAGGGCTAGAATTATGTGAAATGAAAGAAAACTTAAGATATTTGTTATCAAATATTGTATTTTTGTATAATTATTGATGATTTGTTAGTTAATACCACATGTACATGTAAGTAGAAATATTTTACTGCTATTTTTAGTTACAGCGCTAAATATGTTAGTTATTTACAGTTATTTCACATTTGTTACTTACTAATGTAGTTCACTGCACTTTCTGTTGTAAGCATGTTAAGGCCTTTTTTAAGGTACACAATGTACCTAATGACTTATAACCTTGTCTGTATACATGTAGGTCATTAAAGTAAGAACATATGAGAAAAAAAATGTTTCAACTTTATGAAATCATGTCTTTGATGATAATAATAATAATAATAATGTTATATAGTTTACGTAATTCTGTATTTCTAATTTATTTTTATTTCATTAGTCAGCATACAATTTGCTAAAAGCAAGAACATTTATGTAGAATTACAAGTTAACTTATTTAGTGTAAATGATTGGGCCATGAGTTATGGCAGCACCACAAAATAATCCTCCCAGCTTTACTCATAGGGACATGAGTGGTACAGTGCTGATACCTAAATAGATCATCTGTTGTTGGGGTAAACTGCTCTTGGGGGACATTTTTGGTAAGCTGGTCATACCGGTCTCTATGGTAAACTGGTCATAGACTGTTACTGCAGTGTTGCGTTGATCCTATAATTTATGCATTTTTTTGTGCATTAAAAGGTTGTACTGATTTATTTACATATTTTATTGATGAAATGTTATTTATTGAATTATTGACACAGTTTTGATGCAAAGTCAACAGTTATAAAGATAGGTTTCACAAATGTAGCAAGCTCGACATTTTTCAAATTTTTGATACACATTTTCTAAATGAATGGTTGTTTATGTAAAGGGAATTAAGATTTAAATAAATGAATATGAATATGTTTAGCATTTATTGAAATGAGATGTAAATCATTGATGTTAAAGCAGCATGTCTGAGACATAGTAAGGTTATTTTAGTTTGTAAAGGAAAAAGTGATTAAAGTAGGAATAAAATGAAATGGTTGCATTTAATGATTTTATAAAGTTGTATTCTTGAATAATTATATTCTTAGTTAGAAAGTAATATTATAATAAAGGATTTCAAAAATTGAGTCACAAGTATGTGGAAATAGTCTTTTGATAAGATATTTCAAGAATTTGTCACAAGTATATGGGAATACATGTACTATTTTGATAAAAGATTTCAAGAATTTCAGTCACAAGTAAATTGTACATGTATGTGGAAATAGTCTTTTGATAAAATATTTCGCGAATTTATGTCAATGGTCGAAACTCAGACTTTGCTGTAAGTCATTGCTGTCTAAATTCAAAGTCAGGTTTAGTCCATTACAGTAATTCAGTAGGGGAAAGGCGCTGGAAAAAAAACATCATTTGATATTATAAATTAATATTTCAGGCATATTGAAATACAAATTTTGGTATGAAATGAAATATGTTTGATTGTATTTATTGTTTTGTTTATGTTGGTACCAGTCAAGTCTGTCATAAAGACCACCTGGGAATATAGACTACCTTATGCCTCTAAAGATTCTTGTGACTGTTTTAAAATACCAAAGATTTTTACTTTTGATTGTAACTTTTATGATGAACAACCATATTTATAAGTCAGTTTAAACCATTCTCTATCAGTGGTCTTATTAAAAGGGGTCTGGTCTTTATGAAGAGGGTTTGATTCTAAATGCTTGGTTTTACAAAGAATTGTAAACTTTGTGGGCAAATCTGCATATTGCTTGCTTTAATTATTTATTTACAAGTCACGCTTGTTTATTGTGAAGAAAAATTAAGATTTATTAAATTGTTATCATTGCATTTTTGAGTTCTTGTTTTCTATTTCTTCAAATAACGTTGTTAATAGCTAACCTTAGCAAAGATTGTGTAGAGGTGAACTTTTGTGATGGCAGTGTGTTCGTTGCTTGTAGTTCATTACTATAAAAACAACACCTCATTCTGAACCACTTTATGGATTTTGGCCGAATGATCCTTAGATGGCCGTCTACAAAAGTTAAATAATTGGTTCCAGTCTAATGCATTAGTAGGTCACAGGAGCTAAAAATAGTCTTTAAAACTGAAATCTTCAAAAATCTTCTTCTCAGAAACTACAATGCTCAGAACTTAGATACAGTATATGGCAAGTAGTATCAACCTAGGGTCAAAACTGGCCCTGTCCTAGGGTTCACTTAGTTTTCATAGGAATATATAGGAAAATTCATTTAAGTCTACTTTTACAAAACTGAAATTCCAAGAGATAAGATATTTGGTATGTAGCATCACCTTGTGGTCCTCTACAAAAATAATTTAAATCATGTATCTGGGGTCAAAATTCCCCCTGCCCAAGGGTCATATAAATTATATTGACCTGTATAGGAAGATTCATTTAGTCTTCCTTTGTGAAACTACGATATAAGTCATGTCTGTGAGGTCAAAATGGCTTTGCCAAGTGTTCATGACGATTAGTTGCTAAGCAATGTTCTTCATGGTTAGTTGTTGAGCAATGTTCATGATGTGAGTTGTTGAGCAATGTTCATGATGTGAGTTGTTGAGCAATGTTCATGATGTGAGTTGTTGAGCAATGTTCATGATGGTGAGTTGTTGAGCAATGTTCATGATGTGAGTTGTTGAGCAATGTTCATGATGTGAGTTGTTGAGCAATGTTCATGATGGTGAGTTGTTGAGCAATGTTCATGACGATTAGTTGCTAAGCAATGTTCACAATGATTAGTTGTTGAGCAATGTTCATAATGTGAGTTGTTGAGCAATGTTCATAATGTGAGTTGTTGTACAATGTTCATGATGGTAATTTGTTGAACAATGTCCATGACGATTAGTTGCTTAGCAATGTTCACAATGATTAGTTGTTGAGCAATGTTCATAATGTGAGTTGTTGGGTAATGTTCATGATGTGAGTTGTTGAGCAATGTTCATGATGGTTAGTTGTTGAGCAATGTACATGATGGTGAATTGTTGAGCAATGTTCATGATGGTGAGTTGTTTGTACAATGATTATGATGGTTGTGATTTGTTTGAGCAATATTTCATGATGAGAGTTGTTAAGCAATGTTCATGATGGACACATGATGGTGGGTTGTTGAGCCATCACATTGTGATTACTTATGCAAGTTGTTGAACAATGTTCATGATGGTTAGTTGTTGAGTAATGTTCATGATGGTGAATTGTTGAGCAATGTTCATGATGGTGAGTTGTTGTACAATGATTATGATGGTGATTTGTTGAGCAATATTCATGATGAGAGTTGTTAAGCAATGTTCATGATGGACACATGATGGTGGGTTGTTGAGCCATCACATTGTGATTACTTATGCAAGTTGTTGAGCAATGTTCATGATGGTTAGTTGTTGAGCAATGTTCATGATGGTGAATTGTTGAGCAATGTTCATGATGGTGAGTTGTTGTACAATGATTAATGATGGTGATTTGTTGAGCAATATTCATGATGAGAGTTGTTAAGCAATGTTCATGATGGACACATGATGGTGGGTTGTTGAGCCATCACATTGTGATTACTAATGCGAGTTGTTGAGCAATGTTCATGATGGTTAGTTGTTGAGCAATGTTCATGATGGTGAGTTGTTGAGTAATGTTCATGATGGTGAGTTGTTGAGTAATGTTCATGATGGTGAGTTGTTGAGCAATGTTCATGATGGTTAGTTGTTGAGCAATGTTCATGATGGAGAGTTGTTGAGCAATGTTCATGATGGTGATTTGTTGGGCAATGTTTATAATGTGAGCTGTTGAACAATGTTCATGATGTGAGTTGTCGAGCAATGTTCATGACGATGAGTTGTTGAGCAATGTTCATGATGGAGAGTTGTTGAGCAATATTCATGATGGTAAGTTAATGAGCAAAGCTCACAATATGAGTTATTGAGCAATGTTCATGACAGTAACTTGTTGAGTAATGTTCATGATAATTAGTTGTTGAGCAATGTTCATGATGGTGAGTTGTTGAGTATTGTTCAAGATGTTGGTTGTTGAGGAATGTTCATAAGAGTTGTTGAGCAATGTTTATGATGTTAGTTGTTTAGCGATGTTCATGATGGTAATTGTTGTTGAGCAATGTTCATGATGGTGAGTTGTTGAGCAATGTTCATGATGTGAAATGTTGAGCAATGTTCATAATGTGAGTTGTTGAGCAATGTTCATGATGTGAGTTGTTGAGCAATGTTCATGATGTGAGTTGTTGAGCAATGTTCATGATGGTTAGTTGTTGAGCAATGTTCATGATGGTTAGTTGTTGAGCAATGTTCATGATGGTGAGTTGTTGAGCAATGTTCATGATGTGAGTTGTTGAGCAATGTTCATGATGGTTAGTTGTTGAGCAATGTTCATGATGGTTAGTTGTTGAGCAATGTTCATGACAGTGAGTTGTTGAGCAATGATCATAATGGTTAGTTGTTGAGCAATGTTCATGATGGTGAGTTGTTGAGCAATGTTTATGATGGTTAGTTGATGAGCAATGTTCATGATGGTTAGTTGTTGAGCAATGTTCATGATGGTAAGTTGTTGAGCAATGTTTATCAAGGTTAGTTGTTGAGCAATGTTCATGATGGTGAGTTGTTGAGTAATGTTCATGATGGTGAGTTGTTGAGCAATGTTCATGATGGTGATTTGTTGAGCAATGCTCATGATGGTTAGTTGTTGAGCAATGTTCATGATGGTTAGTTGTTGAGCAATGTTCATGACAGTGAGTTTGTTGAGCAATGATCATAATGGTTAGTTTGTTTGAGCAATGTTCATGATGGTGAGTTGTTGAGCAATGTTTATGATGGTTAGTTGATGAGCAATGTTCATGATGGTTTAGTTGTTGAGCAATGTTCATAATGTGAGTTGTTGAGCAATGTTTATGATGGTTAGTTGATGAACAATGTTCATGATGGTTAGTTGTTGAGCAATGTTTATCAAGGTTAGTTGTTGAACAATGTTCATGATGGTGAGTTGTTGAGCAATGTTTATGATGGTGAGTTGTTGAGCAATGTTCATGATGGTGATTTGTTGAGCAATGTTCATGATGGTTAGTTGATGAACAATGTTCATGATGGTTAGTTGTTGAGCAATGTTCATGATAGTTAGTTGTTGAGCAATGTTCATGCTGATTAGTTGTTGAGCAATGTTCATGACAGTTAGTTGTTGAGCAATGTTCATGATGTGAGTTGTTGAACAATGTTCATGATGTGAGTTGTTGTACAATGTTCATGATGGTGAGTTATTGAGCAATGTTCAAAATGTGAGTTGTTGAGCAATGTTCATGATGTTAGTTGTTGAGCAATGTTCATGATGTTAGTTGTTGAGCAATGTTCATGATGTGAGTTGTTGGGTAATGTTCATGATGTGAGTTGTTGTACAATGTTCATGATGGTGAGTTATTGAGCGATGTTCAAAATGTGAGTTGTTGAGCAATGCTCATGATATGAGTTGTTTTACAATGCTTATGACGTGAGCTAGGACTACGTTTGGAAGTATACGTTTGAGGCCCTGACACATTTTTATCATGAGAAGAGCGAAATGATCCAAGTGTTTGCAGTATAGTAAACTTGATTACTTCAAAATATGTGTTACCTTATCTACTCTCCTTAATTTGTGTATACACAACAAATGGATGGATATGTATTGCTGTTTTATAAGTAGAACCTGAGCGAAAATAGTGACTTTTATGATCACTTGGTGTTCATTATCTGCCGAGCATTCATTGGCCATTTCTTTCACACAAACAATATCTCTCAGTCCTGTGAGTAAATTTGACCAAACTTCAGTGTATTGCTTCTTTGGTAGTCTTCTACAAAATTTAATGCTATATGACTGTGATAATCTGGCAAATCATAACATCTGCTGACTTTATAATTTAAGTACCCATTGAAGTACTGAGTGTCATTAAACCGCAAAACATTTTTATTTTAAAACGCTGGTTTGAAATATTACGTAAGATATATAATTCAGGACTGATTTAGATTAATTCCTACATTGCAAGTCTTTTACAGATTTTAACTGTTACACGAATGATATGGGCGTCTATGGCCAAGTGGTTAAAATCGTTGACTCTCACCGCTGTAGGTTCCAGCCGCGCAAGCGTCTTTGGATTGTTTTCATGTGAGACAGCTATTCAGCTACCTACCAGAACTTCGGTGGTTCTACTCCGATGCCCGTTTTTACATGAAATAATGCACACAGGGGCACCTAGCTGGGCTCTTTCAGCCACCAGTAAAGCTGTAAAGTCGCCATATGCAGATATGACTTATACTGTGTTGGTGCGACGTTAAACCCAAACAAACAAGTTACAAGAATGATGGAATGTGAAGGTACGTTGCAATTAATGGTGTAGAGACAATTAAATATATCAAGTTGCAAAAGTAAGTGTGCACTTGGTTACAGGAAAATTTTGTACATGTATACTTATTTATGCAAAACATTGGCAAACTTGGTATCAATATTTGCAGAAAAGTATTGACTTTACGTCATAATCAGAGTTTTGGTAACGTGTAAATAGCTGAGGGAGAAAATACTAGTGTAAAAGTTGCAGAATTGTGCTTTTGTGAAAATACGTTTTTTTTTTCATATATTTTTTTTTTTTTTGCTTTTGGATAGTTGTATTTTTTTTTAATGGAACATCATTCAAACCCATGTCCATGTAGCGTTACGTTTGGAACACTTCCGTTGATCCAAAAATGAAATGAACGCAACATATAATTATCTAATGGCCGCGTAACAAGACAAAAAAGGCGTTAAAATCACAAGTGCAACTTTTACTTTCCAACCTACCTACCTAGTACCAGGGATCGTACAAACATCCAATGCCAAAATTCAAGGACTTTTTAAGCACGTTTTCCCATTTTTCAAGCACATAGAATTTTTGTTTCACATATATTGACAAAATCCTCAACCTAAGACGGATACAAAATGTAGTTTATTAGCAATTTTGTGAACACACATTTTTCTGGCCACAATTTTAAGGTTTTTATAATACAACACAGGGCGCATCAAATACAAATTAGTTCAAAAGAACGGCAATTTGTCCACGAGCAAACATTTCATTGTTTATGATACTAAATTGGATCTTCTATTTTTGTTTTTTGTGAACTGTTGATTTTTATCGACACTATGTCATTCAATCATTTTTAAGCACATTACCAGCAGATTTAAGCACTTTTTAAGAGAGTAACCAAATTTGAGGACTTTTAAGCACCTTTTTTACATTTTAAAGCACTTTTTAAGAAAGGGACTCGAATTTAAGCACTTTTTAAGACTGTACGAGCCCTGCACCACTTTTTACATGAACAAAATTCTCATAATGATCAATTTTCAATACAAACTGAATCATTTTATAGTCAACCGAATTTGCCACTATTTTGCTCATGTATGAATACAACTTTACCAAGTTACCAAGTGCACAGAGGTTCCAACAGAGTATTCATATACAACGTGTAGGTAACACATGATGTAGGTAGAATGAAACATAGATGTAGATACAATGAAACAAATGAAACTTTTTCAATTAATCAAACAGTGTCGGTTAAATGAAACAAATGGTGTCATTGCAACTAAGGAAAAGAAGGTGTCAGTATAATGGAACCAATGAAAAAGTTACAAAGGAACAAATGGTGTAGGTTCAACGGAACGATTGATGTCGATACGATGGAACGGAATGTGTCGTTCAATGGAAACTAATGCGATAGCTACAAAGGAACAAATGGTGCCGGTACAATAAAATGCTCGTACAATGGAACAAAAAGTGTAGGAACAATGGAACAAATGATGTAGAGACAATAGAACACACAGTGACGGTATAATAAAACATTGTCTGATGTCAGCATGCAACAAATGATGTAGATAAAAAAGTAACACTTGATGTCGGTACAATCAAACAAATGGTATCGATAAAATGAAACAAATAATGTAGATACAATAACACGATGTCGGTATGATGAACCAAAAATGGTTCCTGTACAATTGAACGGGAGGTGTCGGTACAAAGGCACAGAAGGTGTCGGTACAATGGAACCAATGAGGAAGGTACAAAGGAACAAATTGTGTCGGTACAAAGGAACAAATGGTGCAGGTACATTGGAACAAATGGTGTAGGTACACCGGAACAAATTGTGTAGGTACAACGGAACGATTGATGTACATACAATGGAACGGAAGGTGTCGGTACAACGGAACTAATGCAGAAGGTACAAAGGAACAAATAACGTAGGTTCAATGAAACGATTGATGCCGATACGATGGAACGGAAGGTGTCGGTACAATGGACCAATGCTAAAGGTGCATAGGAACGAATTGTGTCGGTACAAAGGAACATGTGGCGCCGTTACAATGACAGAAATAAGACAGTTACAAAGTAACATGTGATGTAGGTACAATCAGATATACGATAACGTAAATGCTGTCAGTACTGATGTAATGTAGGTTCAAACTCGCCTAAACTTCATGGAACTAAAAGTGATAAGTCTTGGCAACCAGTTTAAAACTAAAATGGTTGCAGCCTTGCCAGGCAAAATACTACTGACAAACTTCAAATTTTCATCTCAATTTCCCCATATTTGATAATGGTCAGTTCCAATAAACTTATTTAAGTAATTCGTTAGGTTAATGGTAAACAATCTTGATCAGATCGGAGTATTTTGTCACCTGTAGGTAAGTTAGATAAATTATTAAATAAACTCTGTTTAAACAAAAAGTATGCAAAATATCCGGTTTTATAATCTATGTCAACAGTATGGCATGTTTTGAATTGATAAGGGCATTGTGCATTGTACATTTCAGCGGGCACGTGCCTTTAAAGCTGTGCCAAACTCTTTCAAGAAAATCAACCTTAAGCTATGAAAATGTACTCAAGATTTTAGGAAAAGTACCAATATTCACCATTCAAGAAATAAGTTACATGTTATATGCAATAAATGACTGAAGTTTTTATCAACATATTTTTACTGCGTGACTAACGCATTAAGGCCTATTTTTGCATATTCTGACCGGTTTCTTGGTAATTTCCGTAGATTTTAAGTGCCGTTTGCAATGTGTTAATTCTTTCTTTGTTCACTTGGCAATATCTAACTTTATAATACATTTTTAAAATGGAAAATTTGCACGAATCCGGAAGCATGCTGCTGTAACAGATGACGACTTTGTGATCAAATAAATGGACATATGAAATAATATCACAGCTGCAAAGCTATCCTATACTTCATCTCAATGTTATTATATCCTCTGGATCATTGATTCCAACAGCCTACTGTAAGTGTTGGGGATTGATTGAATACTGATAAGCCGGTGCTAGGGTGCGTGGAAGTAGCAATTTCCATCCTATATGTATCATGAACAATGTAAATGAAACATAATACTTCATTTTTTAAACAGCATGTCTTTGTTTTATTTGTTTTTATTGCTCCACTTTTCAGAATGTAAAATATAGTCTTAAGATGGCTTCCTTCGCAGAATTATTGCTAGTTTGATAGACAATTACAAGAAAAAATTACAATAAATAATAAATAAAACCTTATAACTAAGACATGAACAACAGTGGTAAAACTATATTGACGTTTTAAAAATTAAATACTAGTATGTATTTTGAACATAAATCAAAGCACTGGAAGTACTGCGCATATAACCTAGTAAAGGTAAGGAACTCTAAGCGCTATTCGCCTCACAAAGAGCAATAAACAGCCAAATCATCCTCAACATTTCGATGGTATTTAAGGCTGTAAAAAGCCGAGGACTTCCGACAACATTCAAATGGAAAATGTCTCGTTTTGAAATGTTCGTACACTCGTAAAATGCCTTCAAAGGAAATCGTAATTGCTTGATAAAATCATATTAAGTCCTAAGAATAATATTTTCAGATATTTCACCACAAGCTCCTATACTCATTTCATAATTAGTTGATATACACTTTCTTGAAGTGAACAGTTAATTCTTATACTTTATTGAAATGATCTGTTAATTCTGAATAATTTCAATATTCACGCGTTTCAAACCGTCTGATTATAATAAAGGAATAGGTTGGTCAAAAATTGCCTCTTTTATAAATGTCATCCGGTTTTTGATAAGTCTACTGATATCGGCAGAACTTGGGTATTTCTGACTACTTGAATGGGTAGAAACGTTTTTTTTATAGACATACATGAATAACAAATCATAAATCAAAGAAATGTGCCCATGACATGACACAGTCCTCGTTCATATCTTACTAAAATATATCCCGATCAAGTGAGTTTATAAAATGATAAAATAAAAATGTCAGATTTTAAAACCACACGTAAAATGTTTTTTGAACTCTCTCCTAAGTTGCTCATTTCTGTATCCGTAAACAACCCAATTTATTGAAGAGTTTAATAAACCCGGAATGACACTCCAATATTGACTCTTTTTTAAAATACGGTTATCCGAAAATGAAATGGCGATGGAGATCAAAACGTAAGGAAACCAACAAATCGCGAAAAGTCCCTGAACGATTGCCATTGTTTTTATTCTGTAAAGTTCTTTCGTATTCGCTTTACAGTCAAATACAATATTCTGCTCAGCATGGACCTTTCTCGCCTTCTTTAAAGAGATTCGCACAACGACGATGTAAAGTGTCAGATTTATACCCAAGAAAATGATAAAGGTACAATTCATTACTTTGGCATATATTGGCGTCAAAACTTCATCTTGCGTACAACTATACGGTGTATTTATATCATAGAAATTCCATCCGGATAACGGAAATGACGCGAAAATGGCCACATAAGTCCATCCAATCGTCAGCATGATAATGATCTTGTTTGTGCTCAGGGTCTTGTGATGCTTGTACGGAAAGCAGACGGCAGAAAAGCGGTCAATCGACACCAATAGAAGGCCGTATGACGATATTCCTATGGCGAACACTATCAATGAACATTTGACCAGGCAAAAATATTTGTCAGAGTTGAGTTGAAGGGTATCAATAATGATACAGTATGGAAGCAAAAATCCCATGATAAGGTCCGACACGGCGAGGTTCCCTACCAAAATATGGAGACTGGTTTTACTTTCACGAAATTTTGATAAACACAACAGAATAAGAATGTTGCCAATAATTGTAGGCACGGCGATCAGTCCGTACATTACATCCCATACGATGTATATTGTCGCATAATTTAATGTCAACTGCGGAGGGCTCGAAACATTCACCGTACCGTTCGTTGTATAAACCATTGTGATCACTTCAAAGTCATCCTTTTTACACTTACTCTTTTAAAATGCACATCAATTCGGAAATGATTACTAAAAGATATTATTTTGTTACATTGCTAGTCAATGTGACAATGAATTTTAATATCGAACATTTTTATCCTTTTTGGTATCTTTAATCAAATGTGTAACGTTTCACAGACACAGACATAGAAACAATGACTACATAGCAGTGTTGTTTATGGTTTCTATCAGCAAATAACGTGGCAACAATAAAATCTGGTAGTTATTTACTTTTAATAAATGTACAGTGATAACGTAAACACCAAGGTTAATATATTAGGGACATGAAGAACAAAGCAAACTACTGTTATTGACAGATAAATGATTGTACACATTTCTAATAAATGTAAATGGAATTTGCTTTCAGCATATTTGGAAAGCTATACATGTTTAAGTAAAAACATAACAAAGCAGTAATAATAATGATAATAACTGACATTAACGTGTGTCACATATGCGTCTAGTAATTGTTATATCAGAATATGTATTTTTTTCAGTGTTAGAAATCCAAAACGTTTTTATATATTAAATACTCCATGACAGAGTGGTACATGGTATTAATATAGAAGAATGATAACGATTTAGATAAGGCAAATTTATATTTTGTTTCAACATGCCAAATTTGAATATCCGTTATTCTAATCTATGTAAACATTTTATTGAAAATGTCATTAATAAAGCTTTACATGGGAAAAATAGAGTTTCAAACAGAAATTTCATTGACACCAAGAGGAAATGAACTAAAATAGATTATTGAACTTAACCTCATGGATTTATGTAATGAATTTGCCCTGTCTTGCATTTGGAATAGTTCATTTATAGTGACATTATGCTCATTTTTTTCATTGTCAAGTTGTGCTATTTTATATTTCAAATGATTGACTGTAGAAATGGTGATTGCCCGACAGTTGATAAGAGAAAATATTTAAGATAAAATACAAGTCTTTCTAAAATATAAAAAGACTGCGCAATTCTTTTTATAAAATTGAACGTTTCAGGAAATTTCCAATGAATATCTAAAAAGAATCCCCTGGGACATGTCAGTTATATATTGTACATGCAAAGTAAATTATAAAACTGAAAGGAATTATGGTAAAATGTAAATTTATTTGACTTTCACCTGTTCACTCATTATATAGCCTTGTGTGGACATAACGTCACTTTAAAGTTTAAGAGCTTGATATCGAAATACAAAAATAAGCTACCAACAGTATGGAGCCTGCATGGAAATTACAGGCTGAGCTGGCTCTATCTTGGACGGAAAGGCTAATTCATCGGTCCAGCATGTTAAGGTTTTTAAAACTGGATATTTTCAAACTTTACTTTAAATAGACACGATCAAAGATTTTATTTTACATAATGTGACATTATATTCAAGCAAGTGATGTAACGGAAGCAAAAGAAACGTTTCGATTGTCATAGATACGTATAAACTGTTTCATAGAAACATATCTGCTTACCTTAAACAGTACATATACAAAATTGCTTATTTACATAGAAAATGACATTTAAGATACAACATGTTAATCTAATGTAATAAATTATTCAATAAATTATGATTTGTTCATTTTCTAAATTTGACTAAATTCTGTAAATTAATTTGTGAATAAACGATTCTGGGAGAGCTTCTTCAATGGAAAAAGATTTATCCTTAATTCAGCAACATACGCAATTTTCTTGGTGCGGTAAAATCTCATTGATCTTTTTCTTTTTTACAAAACTGTACAATATTTACATTAAAAATCAATTATAGCGAACAAAACATATGTTCTAGTAAGCTTAATATACATGCATGTACTAGTAAGGTCAAACTATGCACTTGTATGTTCAAAATATATACCAGTAAGTTCAAACTATGTACTAGTAAGTTTTAACTATGTACATGTTAGTTCAAATTATGTACTAGTAAGTTCAAAATATGTACTAGTAAGTTCAAAATATGTATAAGCAAGTGTTTGATCCTGACACTGGAGTAAGAGGGCCTTTCATGTGGTACTTGGGAGGAAAGACTTGAACTGTTTCACTGTAATGAGAACACCTTGATCGTGTCACTTGCGTCACAGGTTACCATGATCGTCCCGCTGCTTTCACTGAACTTTACAGACCATGGGTCCCACACTTGCTCCTTGTTGATCAACGTACGGAAAATCTATACATTACGCTCGCTTATTGGTGTACACTGTCTATAGACATATATCACACAGACGTACAAAATTTCCATCATTATCAATATCAATTCGCTGTGCGTTACGTAGCGACGTATCCTGATATATTGACGTCACATTGCCATGGCGATCCATGCAAACGATTCGATCTTTATCAGAGACGTAGATAAGTTTACCTGTCGGAGTAACGGTCAGATAGTAGGGATCAGAAAGGATTCTTCGGCCACTCCTGTCCGTATCTATAGTCTGCTTTATTCTTCCTGTAAGACTTACAACTTGTACAGCTGGGCCTATCAGATAATCATTGCAGACGACAATTAGCTCTTGGTTTCTGCAGACTATGCCGTAGCAGTCCATATCCAATTTTATTGTTCGTGTTGCTTTCAACTGATCGGTAACAGCTATGAACTGAATTTTGCTTTCAAATGGTAATGACACCGCTACCTCTTTAGGTCCAGTCACTTCAACATCCCATGGTCCAGACGATAAACGGAGTTGAGAGCCGCGATAAAGTTTTGAGTCAAATACCTTTACGTTATGGTTTTCATAATCTGCTAAAACAATTCTGCCATCCTGGAGAAAAGCTGTTCCTTTTAAACCACATACATTGGAGTCTTCTTGAAGCCGAATGTTGAATTGACCTGCCAAAACCGCCTTTCGGTCTTTCAGAGCGGGACCAGAGGAAGTCAACTCTCCACGACGTTTTATCGGAGATGCTTGCGCAAGAATATCAGATTTTGTTTTTGTACTTGTTTCTTTTGTCGGTAATGGCATAGACGCAATGCTTGTAAGGGAACTTCTTCTAGACATTTGTTGGTGATTTATTAATAACATGTCTGGTTTGCTGACTTGAGGTTTGTTGAGGCCCTGGTTAACAAGTGAGTTGTTGCCAACAGTCCTAGGCGAGACCGGAACAAAATCGCGCTGCTGACGTCCCATGTCAAAGCCTGGCTCAGAGAAAGCCCCACGCGGCGGTGGAATGATAGGCAAAGCGCCCTGATTATACATTTGGCGTTCATACTGCGTCTGCTCCTGTACCCCTGCCATAGCCAATCTAGGTGTTGGTGGCATGCTTCTAAATTGCTGAGCTATTTCAGTCTGTCTTGGCGTCTGCGGTAGACTTCTTATTCCACCTCCAGGTCCTCCGTGGAAATCGGTCATATTAGATCTCAATCCCGCACTTCTAAAATCGGGTACGGAGCCGGACATTATCGAGGTTTGACGACTGTTTGTGATTGGTGGAAGTTCAATATCGCGATTGCCCTGGAACTGTGTCATTGACATAGAGTTGGAGAAGTCAGACGAAGGACGCCGGTTCATATCGGAACGTGAAATGTAATTTATCGGCTGTTGGCTTGAGGTATGGTCGATGAAGCCATTTTGAGGTTGAAAGGTGTTTCTAGATTTCTGATTGTATCTCACACTGTTCGACGTTATCGATCTTCCATCAAACATTTCTAGACTTTTAGCCAGTCGATCAAGTGTCGGGTCAGGTTTAAATTCAAGCCGGACATTCTTTATACTTCCCATTGCATTATTCAGCATGTTGACATATTTATCTCTCTCTGATGCGCTCCGGCGGCCAGCAACAAACATTTGTTGGTCAGTGGCATGTCCGGCAGCAGCATCTAGGACTTGTATTGAGCTGTCTATTTTCGTTAAAATCTCTTTAGAGCTCTGGCTGTCGTCGCCCATATCGTTTGACACCCTCTGTATCACTTCTTCCATTTCCAATTCACTAGACGTGTCCAGTTTATCCAGAAGTTCCATTATTTTGTTTTTGTACTGTTCACGACGTTCTCGAATTTCATTCCTTTGCTGTTCAAGACTTGTAAGTATCTCGCCCGTGTCTTTGTGAATATCTTCAAAATTTCTTTTAATGTCTCTTAGCTCTACTGCAGCATCTGCAACTACCTTTCTGTCAGCAGGTTCATCGGTGATATCCTTGATAAACATAACACGTTCACATCGCCTGTGATCAGTGTTTACGCATGCGCCACAACCCATGACGTCATGATCTGCGCAGTAGTACTCAAGGTCTTTCTCTGTATGGACCATACACATCATCAAAAGAGGTAGTCTAGCAACAGCACCCGTGTCCTAAAGATAAAAAAACAACATCAGGTTTATTTTAAATTAAGGACTGAGTTCGGTAAAATGTTTTAGTAACGTCAGTCTTAAAAGATAATGAAAAATTATGTAAGCACGACGATCGGTGTATTCACGATTTAGCCTACGCTTCAGCTTCAGAGAATATAACTTGTAGTAATTAAATCTTATATATGAAATACCTTAGGAATCCTGTCGCCTTTGAGAATATTGTGAGCTCTTATAGTTTTGAATTTGTTATGTTCAGTGCAACATGATTCGCACAGCAGTTCCGCGCATTCCACACAATATCCACAGGCCCCACTCGTTTTCTCCTCAAACTTACCTGAAATATGTCGAAAAAAACATATCACCAAGTAATGTTAGAAACAGAATATGAAGTGCAGCAATGTGTTTTGAACAGGCTCAATCAAACCGAGCCTACAACATTTTCAGTTTTGCCGTTTTGTGCTTTCATAGGGATTCCTTTCCCAACCCCTTTTTTGTAAAATATACTTTTATTTCTTTGATACTGCGTATAAAATATTGTGAGATGATAAGAAAATAAGTAACATTATTATTAACAGTCAAACTTGACACCTTAAAAGTCACCAAACACTGTTAATGTATGGCAGTGGTAAATACAAGCATCTGTCTACGCCCTCTAGCACCGGCCTACCCGAACATAAAAATGGTGTTTATCTAGAATTGACATAGGTCATTGTTATATTCATGCTTTTACATCAGCAGCGGTATATTGTCCATTAGTGAAAGAATGCGCGCGCCCTATTAAAAAAATAACGGGAGAAACTAAAGAAAATGGAATTTAGAAAGGGTGATCAGAGGTTTAAAAGCCTGCTTATCACAGACGTCAGTTGGCAAATTGGAAATGTCCCCTGTGTGAGTATACAGTTCTCACGGAAGAATACTTCAATCACCGTACATGAACATTCTGACAGAACTGAAAATGGAACTGTTGCAGGCTCGGTTTGATTGAGCCTGATCATGGGCGGTACTGGAAAGTGCAAGTTACCGTCTACGCTCACTTGCACCGACTTAAGCAAAATTAAATATTTAAACATGAAAATGGTGAAATTATGAATTTAGAACATCCACAGATGTGTTCATACGGCGGTCATTATGGAACCTTCAATGTGACAAGTTCGTGCCATTCGATGAAATTTCAATATTTGACTTAGTCTCAAAATGTGCTGTATGACCTCACTGATATATTTAGTATAAATCATGTGCCATCACATTGCATAAAATTTGTTTCGTACTCATTTGCCGTGAATATTACTCAAATGTACCTGATACTATAAACGTATTCATACACTACTGGGCTTATCAGGCTAGCATTGTATGGAAGGCAAAACAAAGAAATAAGAATCAATAAACTTACAAGGTGCGCACTCGCCATGAGTAAAATCCTGTTCTTCTTTCGGCGGATTACACACGGAACAAATATATTCCACTTTCGGAGCCGCGGTCTTCTTGCCGCCTTTAGTTGACATTTTTGAACTTCGACCATCTTTCTCGTCCTCGGGCTCTTTGATTGCTAAGGTTTTCACACAATCTTGGCAAAAACCATGGCTGCAATCGAGCATTTTCATATTTTTCTCGGTTTTTGTGCACTGAGAACATGGCTCGAGTGTAGGCGGCTGTTTCTTACCGCCAGGTTTGCCAACACTTTTGTTCGAGCCAGCTCGGCTGCTGGAACGTACTGATCTTTTTGACATTTTATATTTCCAAAATATGTGAACTATATGTAAATATATATTATTTAGCTCTACAATATTACATTCCTAATTTCCAATCGAATATTGTATGTAAGATGATAATTTCTGTTGTTGTTTTTTAACAATTTTAATAATCGTCACATTCTACTTATTTACCTTCTTAACTTTCAATTATATTCTCGCTATTAGCAATTCACTCCAGTTCTACAGAAGAATGATCCCCGACACATTTTTCGTTGCATATTATAGCCATTTTAAATTTTTGTTCCCTAACCTCATTTAGCATTTAAACATTTAATCTTAACAAGTCTTTTGGACACTCGGATTTAAATATCTATTATTTCACAGAAAGTATCAAGTTCACGAATGACGTCAAAACTTGTATAGATTAGGGGTTTACTTCTTTTGTTTTAATCTACATGGTCGACTTTCTCTAAAGAAAATGCACGAATAAGTTATAAACCGAACGCCGACTAATTATAAAAGAAGCGAACAGATAAGAATAAAATGCTTAAAAACAAATAAAGTTTAACCGTTTTAACTATAAATATCATAATTATGCCAAAATCAGGTCAACAAATATGGAATTGGTGTCGTTAATGCAAGGCCTTGGAATACTTTATGACCCAAACTATTTGAAACTATCTAACAGAAAGTTAAAGGGACTCCACTGAGGTTTAAAAGCCTATAAACATAACATTTGAATTTCTTACATAAATGAGCTGGGGCACTTTAAAAAGAAATATATGCAAAGATAGTTAAGAAATATACTTAAAAATAAATTGAAAATCGTATTTTTATGCCTTTTAAGCCCGATTTGTGTGAAAAGCGTTTAAACGCTTTTCATTTTGGGTCATTTTTTTACAATTTGAATAATTATTCTGAAAAAACGAAGTGCACGAATGATCTGAAATTTTGCACGAAGATTAGTGGTCTAAGCCTACATCAAATGGTACATTTATCTGGAAAACATATTTTCAGTCCCATCATATCAAAAAACCTCAGTGGAGTCCCTTTAATAATATCAAAATAGAAAGGATGTCTACTATTTTCATACGCAGCTTAATTAAAAGCGTCGAATATAGTTTGCGGGTGCGCTTTAGTAAATTACATGTTGACTTTAAAACTAAATTGAGCTTTAATTATATACATTGTACATGTATATATTTTTGCATATGATTATACGACGTCATCACTATCACAGTGAATTTTAATGGCATCTTATGTTTGTTGCATGTTTGTTTGTTTGTTATTTGTTTTTTTTTTATTAAGAGGAGAGATACCTTGATGCATTCCCTAAAATTCATGTAAATTGTTAGATAAAAATTCATGAAAGTGGTAAGACTGTGGGCAAGTGTTGAAATAAGATGACTACACCTAGTCGTAGACATTTACCATCCACAATGAGTACCGATAACATTTCAAAATATGCAGAATAATCATGAATCATAAACGCCCTCCATTACAACGAAGAAGCATCTTTCTTTTACGCATGCGCAGTCTTCGTTGGACAAAATAAATATTGGTCCAAATAGAATTTTTATTTTAGTAGACGTCTATAAACATTCAAAGACATTTCACTATTCAGGAGCTTTAAATTTTGTTATATAACATAGTTGTCTTGCGCAAAAAAGAAGCTTTCATGATGTTATTAAAAAGAAGTTGGGATATGATGAAATATGCTGATACCATAGTAATTCATGTCATATATGGCATCATACACAAAAAGTGTCATTTTGACGGCGAATATTTCTACACTTCTTAAACTAATCATAAAGATTTCTTTTTTTTCTTTCTTTTTGAAAAGCAAAAGTAAAGGCCTCACAAACCATTATTTCTCTTCTGTTTAAGATTAAATCCACTACCGAGTTCCAACACTCAAATTTTGTTGCAGAATTTGGCTATCTTAACGTTGAATTTGCCCAATAAAGATTAGCAGTATGTTCAGATATAAGCTTATTTCAGTGGAGGACTTATTCCTATTTGTTTATTAAAATTAATTGTTACAATATTATAAAATACTTTAACGAAGTTTCTTTTTTTATTAAATCATGAATACTCGTACTAGACTATTTCAGCACAGGACTTGCTATTGGACCATATAATCATAGGGCTTGCTGTAAAATATATCTATTTGTTACATATTCGGTCATATAATCATAAGGCTTGCTGTAAAATATATCTATTTGTTACATATTGGACCATATAATCATAGGGCTTACTATTTAATGAATCGTCCGTATATTCATATGTTCGATACCATTTCTGTTTAACTATAAGTGAAACCATTTTGCTTTGCCATTTTATATTTTATACATGACTTTGTTTAACGGTTTTCAGTTTCCAAAATCTTGTATTGCACGACCTCATTTACCGCATTCGATTAACATTTGAATGGGCCATTTGTTATTGGCAAGTGTTTTTGTTGTTGTTTTTTTTTTCCAATTAAGTATCACTCTGTTTTACGTTCGACTCATTCAAAGGTATGTGTTGTTCCTTCGTATAGATAAAAATTTGAATTGATATCAAATGTTCTTCGGAAATCGTGAAAACTAAAAAGAACTTTGCTACTTGCATTTCTAAAATACATGTTTAAATTCAACGATTTCTTGCAATTCTGAAATTTGAATTAAACCATACCAGGTTTCCGCTGAAAGGAACAATATCAATTCCAAACATCAATGCAAATAAGATTATTTTCAACTTTTTTGTCGTAAACGATATTCACTTCCATATTTGTTGCCTTAGAAATACCTAGACGAACTTTCTGTACCAGAAATACACATTCAATATTTGATTTAAAAAGCCTTCCAACACATGTAAAATAACCATCATCGCCCTAAGCCCACTTTATACTTTATATTTTGTATAAGATAAATCCTATCAATCATTCCAGATAAATCTTGAACAAAATACTTGTTAAACTATAAATACATCCGATATAGGATTTGAAATACATGTAGTACAGTCACTGGGGACCTTTTGTGTGTGCCAAAGTGTCCATGGATAAATGTTGTATCAATATAAAGCAACATATTTGAAGTATACATGGGTAGACATGTTAAATCATGGTACGAACATTTTGACAAATCCAAGATGGCCACCAAAATGGCTACAAAGATGGTCACCTAAATGGCTCTTATGCATGCAGTTTAGAAATAAATTTGTTAATTTTGAGTGAAGCATTGATCACAGTAATGGCGAGACCATAAAAGCCGATGGGCGAAACCAAAAAAGCCATAACCTATTTTTTTTATTAAATTAAAAATTAATTGGTTACAAGGATAGCCCATTATGCTCGAAAGCTTATTTCCAACGGTCATACATGTATATTAATTGAATATAATTATTATTTGCTTGATTTGCTTGATACAATGTTAGACTTTTTAAACGTAGGGGCTTTCTCTGAATTGAATAACTCGAACATTCAATTGTTACACTATTGGTCTATATTAGGACTTGATTTTCATTAAAAGACCCATTATGCCACAGTAATGCTTTTACTTTTGTTTCTAAAAAGCTTTTTTTATATTTCTGGTGTCCTGCTATAGTTTCTAAAATGTTTCTCATTTGGTCATTTACCTGAACCATTTTTACTTCTTTTGCTTTCCGGCATTTAGTAGCTATACTGATTTAGTATTTTGTATGTAAGTCAAAATACCACTTTGTTGACATTTTGCTATTTTTAAAACAAATAAAACATATTCAGTGCTACTTTTTCTTCAGGTGATAATCATATAATATGCTCAGAAACCATTATTTAAACGTTATAAATCCCATGTTTGCCTTTTCTCAAGGAGAAACAAAATCGTTTCAGAGGCATATTGTTTTTATTAAATGTATATTGATTAAATTCAGTTGATACATTACTTTATTGGACTATCTTTAAGTAGGAAATACTCAAAATTGAAAGTGCGTTAAAATATTAAAAGTTTTAAATACAAATCTTCCTTTTGAAGGAATAATTCGTAGATACAATTGTATCAGTATTATATTTGACTATATTTATAAACGCAGAGTTTGTTCTATAATACATTTACCAGTATATTTAATTGTTACATTATTGTGTTTTGTAAATGTTGGGTGTGCTGTTTAATGAATAGTGTGTGCATTCAATTGTTAAAATATTGAATTCTTTATAAGTAGGGGTGAATGAATAATGCGTTTGTACACTAATTAGAATATTTACAATATTGGGCTATTTAAACGTAGGACTAGCTTCTTAATGAATTCTGCTTATAATAGTTACGTATAGGGTCGTTCACTTTTTCACAACTGATATAATTATTCTGAAAAAAAAAACAAAAAAAAACACGCACGCACCCACACACGCACGCACGCATACACACACAACATGTGTGAAATATCTTAAATTTTGCACACACATTATTTGTCAAACTTCTCTTTAGGTGATACATAAACCTCGAAAAAATATTTTTGATTACAAATGAACGTATTCTATTACAATGTGTAACTAATTATTGTCTTGACGGATATTGCGTTTGTTCTATTCTGTGTTTAGTTAAATTTAAACTATTTGCACCGTTCTTTTTTGTGTCTCTCTTAAAAAGTGACCTACGTGTACTAAACTTTCTCATCCTATTTTATCCATTGAAACATACATCACTCCCTTAAAGTGCATGATGTCAACGTATCATCCTACTTTATCCTCTGAATCATAAATCTCTAAAGTACTTGATGTCAACGATTTGAGTATTTATTAACTTTTGTGAACTAAATTCTGCGGAAACTTGAAGGAAAAACAACTATAGAATTCTTATGTATAAAAAAATATTATTTATTTTATTCACAGTCCGCGTCATTATTTTCTAAAAGAAAAGAATCACTTATATTGCATGTTGCATTTTTCAATTAATAATATGATCCAGATTAACATTCCAAAATGAATATGTTCTTTAATTTTTTTAAACCATTTGTTTTAATGTTAAAATATGATAACATTGCTCTAGCATTAGTGATTTTAAACACAAATGAGTTATTCAGTTGCGGGAAATAGATGGGAGATTGACTTTCGGGTCATCAAATCCTCGAAAAAAGACTATAAAATCCCTAAATATCCTATGTTGTGAGTTAGACATGTCCCCCGCTATTTTGGTGACAGAACAAAATCACAATTTGACATGGCAGAATGAGATAGGACGCAGGATAAAACTTGGCTCCTTTACTTGCTTTCCCCGCAGCCCCGCACCGCCCGGAGTAAGGGGGATGCAGGGGCAACATTTGTTTAAGATAGGTTCTTTTGTTTGAAATATCCGATAAAATAAGCTTGACTCGATAACATGAAAATGAAAAGTTAGACAAGATTGGTTAAAAAAAAGAACCCCCAGATGTATGAGTTTGATAGTATCTAAATCGGAGAATATGCGATTGTTAGTATGTAAGAGTGGCAGGTTGTTATTTATTTGCATTTTGTTATATTTTGGCTCATAAACATTTATTAGATGTACTTCAAACGTGTCACCTATGTATGTGCAAAACAAATATTACCCGGCCGATTGCATGTTAAGGTAAAGTAATAAAATTCAATAAAAACGATCGTACAGAACGATACTGTACGGTAAAATATTGCGGGTACATTGTTTAAAGGTTATCTTAATCTGTCATAAAACACAAAATAAACACTGAAAATCTTCCCTTTAATCTCACGATCTTTGTATAATAAATACGAAAAAGAATTAAAAAAAAGCTATAGAACAGTTAAGTCGACGTTAACAGAAAAAACTAAAACAAGCTCTGAACAAGATTGTCTTAAAGCAAATATAACACGGGTATTTGGACGTTATTCTTAACATTATTATTGGTATTTTCTGTCCGTGAATGGCACGGGCAATATTGAGATTTACAATGTAGTAGTCTTTAACTTTAACTAAAATGTATTTATTGTTGGATATTGTAAATGTATAAAGGTATTAAATTTAAAGATTTTACACGGTTAAGCGCCTACCCATAAGACTGACTGACGTTTTGTATACAAACAGTTCAAACATAACTTTTAAACCGCGTTGTGTAGGAAAACATACAGTGGTAAGTCAATTTTAAACTTTCTTATGATATTATACTTTTTAAATCAAGATCTATTCGCATATTTATATAGCACAAGTTATTTATATTTTAGCGTTAAGGTAAAACATATAATATGTCTTTTAAATTCAATCGGATGACATTCACTCGAATGATTTCAAGTTACTTTGGGTACATATTCTTAAGTAATATCTAGCAAGCCAACGTAGGGTAACACACATGTGCCTATCATACATAAAGAACGGAGGGGTCCGGCAAGGGGGAGGAGCTGGGAAGTTCTTTAATAAGTAAAGCTGGAAAACAACCTAATTGACGTTATGTCAATAAAAAGTTTCGAAATGACTTGAAAAGCTGAAATTTAAATAACACATGTGTATCAAAATATAGAGGTCAAATACTAGAAGTCAATAGAACTTTTTAATTGGATTATTTCCACATTCTTTCGCGGTGCGAACGTTAAGGTGTAGTTAAATGCTTTTATAGATTTCTTTGGCTTTTATTATGGAATAAAATGTACGGAGGTAATTGAATTAACATAAACTAAAGGTGACTCATCTCATGTCAGTGTTTTTGTCAGGTGCTTAGATTTTAAACCGTTCTTTTTTAGGGTGTGGGGGGATTGTTGGAGAGGCTAAGAGTTTTTGAAACTATTTTAGAAATAATTTTACTCCATTATTAGATACATTCCTTTATTACATATTTCTTAAAACGAAAGACGTATTCTCTATTAAATAAAGTAAGCGGTTATGTACTGCCTTGTATTTAGCAGACGAACGGTATCATGATGTTTGCTTTAATATCATGCAGAGCTTGCATTTGAACAATCCGTCATATTGATCGTCTGCCATCCGATATGTACTACCTTTTGCAATAATAACAATTTTATCAAAATTCAATACCCATATTATTTTGTTTGCCCGATGCTTCTCAATGATATTTATAAGGGGTATCTTTATGCGATTGCAATAATAAACTGTAACACTTTAAAACTCACGCGGTAACCAGCTTTGCAATAATCTTGTTGATAAATTATTGATATTAATCCGTCTTCAATCTTGACAAAACAATTCAACATGTAAGGGAAAGACTGAATAGACAACAATGCAGACCATGATAAGACGGAGGAATGCATTTGGTCACATGGTTTGATTCATTTGTGTCCAGCAAGCTGAATGTTGATGATTAAATCTCAAATTCATCCGAACGTTTACCCCTAAATGCCAAAGACTTGCATGGGAAAATTAATGAAGACTGGAAAGAAACTACAAATAAAAACCCCTAACATTATCAGGAAAAATGCACTGTAATCCACGGTCCATGCAGATATCGAGTTCCAGAGGTTTCATTAATTCTTAAAAAACTGTTAACAGACGGTTTCAAACTGCTTTCTGTGCACCCTGTTTAACATTGTTTTCCAATATAAAAGATACATTACATATTATTTTTTTTTTGAAAATTAAAGAAAAATAGATAAGACTATATCTAAAAAGTGTCTGTTTTTATTTCTCATTTTAGTAAAAAGAAACTATAGAGGAAACGGAATTTAAAGGTATCCAGACAGAAAGGTCAATACCATGGAAGTATCAGAGAATAAAACTGCTCTGAGGGCTGAACCACTGAAACTGCAGGATAAACTGACAGATGATTGGATTCAACCGTTTAGCTGCAACCACGTGGTTGTTGATATTACACAGGATATCAATGTAAAGAAGGATAAACCAAGGGAGAAAACACTTCATGCGTCGTATTGCGTCATGTGCGGAGAACTTGTAACAGAATTAAAACCGGATATTGATAAAAAAGCAAGTGTTGCAGATATTAGACAAGATGCTCGTTTAAAAACTGGTCAGGATATGAAAACAAACTATGAGGAAAAAACTGATAAAAGGAAACTTTTTAAAAGTTTTTCAAGAATGGGGTCATCCTCTAGCATGTCATTGGCACATACTTTAAATAATCGAGCTTGCACAATACACGGACATAAAAAGTTAAAATATTTCTGTGAAGATCACCAAGAGGTGTGTTGTACTGTTTGTGTCAATGTACTTCACAGAAATTGCCAAAGAATAATGTATATAAAAGATGAGATCCACAATGGTTGGAGCAGTAGAATTCATGAAGAGACCACTGTTGCTTTAGATGCAATTAGTAAAAGTTTTCGATACATCTTAGATAATAATGAAAGTGCAAGACAGAAACTGAACGGTCAAGTTCTTGATTTTAGGAAAAGAAGAGACGAACTTCGTTCCCATTTGTTACATCTTCTTGATGAGTTTGAAAGAAAAAGTGAAAAACGTATCAAGAAGTTTATTAAAACGTCGGAGGATGAAATAGAAGCGACGCTAGAAAATTGTAGAGCAGTGATAAAAGAAGCTGAAGCAAACAAGGAGATGTTGGAAAAAGTAACAAAGACAAGTTCAACCGAAGATACATTTATTGCAACACAGAAAATCCTTTTACAAAGAGAGAAATATGGTCTGGCGTTGTCGGAAGCTATTAAACGGTCAAAAGACATTAGCATAGACCTAATTCCAGAAAGAAATGTCGAAAGTGTCGAAGATCTTAGAAAAATAGGTAGTGTTCACTTCAGTTCAGAAGCGATGCAGTTTCCAGAGGCAGTTATATCGGCGGTTTCTAAAATACCCAAATCAGAATTGAGATCTCCAAGATCAACGCGAGATGCTCGGAACGGATCTTGTAGCTCTTTGGAAAGCCCAGCAACTTTTGTTGGGAAATTCAATGTCCGTTTGGCAGAAGATAAATTCACTTGTGAAAATGTGGGGGCAACCTTTCTTAAAGATGGTAGAATTGCTATTGTTGATATGAAAAATAGCAAATTAAAAGTGTTCGATACAAAATTTACTCAACCATGTACAATACAATTGTCATTGGAACCACGTGATGTGACAGTCATCAGTCCTCAAGAGGTGGCAGTGTCACTTCCAGATGAAAGTAAAATACAATTTGTGTCTACGGGGAAAAAGCTGCAGACAACAAGGTCTATTCTAACAAGCTTACCTTGCTATGGTATAACTTGCCACAGTCAAGAACTAGTTGTGCTGTGTGATGACGGGTTCTCGACAAAAGCAATAGAATTTATTGATTTTGAAGGAAAAGTTTTAAAAACTCTTAAAATGAATACATCCGGAAAGGTTCTTCTAAAGAATCCCTGGAATATTGCAACGAGTGTAGATGGGCAACAGTTTTGTGTGACAGACAAAGGTCGTCTGGTGAATTTTGATATAAAAGGAAATATCTTGTTTGAATACACTGATAAGAATCTAGAAAATGCGCGTGGCCTAGCGGTTGACGACTCTGGACGGTTTTTCGTCTGCGGAACAAGTTCGAACAATGTACATCAGGTGTCAGCAGACGGCAAACAACTTAGCATCATATTGACAGATGAAGATGTAACGGCACCGCAGGCAGTGTGTTATCAATTAGGGAGACGATTATTTCTTATAACTTGTGTCGGTAATAATAATGTTTACATGTACAAACTAACGAAATCCTAATAAACGAGACACGTTAAACCCTATCTGCATTAAACTATTTAATCTTAAAATTAAGAAAGTACAACAACCACATGCAAGAGGATGCTGATCAAAACGATCTAAAATTTAAAAAATACTTATTGATTAGTGAATTTACAGTGTTCAAAATAAGGCAATAAAATGATTTTAAACACCATGTTGTTTGTTTATCTAATGTAAAGCAAATCATTATGTTGTCATATATGTACTTAAATAAACGACTTAAACAACTCGATGCGCTAAAACTATATTAACAAGAATTTGTAACAGAGATACCAACGTCGCCCGCCTAAGGGAAGTTTTACCCTAGAACATTCCATATTAGGTTTTGAATGCAAGTGTGACCTTAACATTAAAGGTAGGGGTCCGGGTGTTGCGTATGACACATGGTCCCATTATTGTGAACATTTGTGCCAAGTATTTTTTAAATTTTTCTAACAATAAAAAAATTATGTACTGGACACAAAGTACGAGGGCTGTTAGAAAAGTATCCGGAAAGTACCCTATAAAAACCACGTTAAGCTTTGACCTCTAAGTTTGACGTTGACCTTGGAGGTGGGGATCCGGATGTTATGCATGACACATCTTATTATTGTCAACATTTGTGCGAAGTAATTTCAAAATCCCTTGATCATTGAAAAAGTTATGGACCTGACACAAAATATATTTTATATCAGACTTTGTTCTATGATCTCAAAGTGTGACCTTGACCTTGAAGGTAGGTGACTGGTTGTTGCGAGTGTAACATCGTTTTTTTATGGTGAACATATGTGCCGGGTATTTTCAAAATCCATTCATGAAAAAGAAAGATATGGACCTGACACGAGATATACACTCAAAAAGACAAAGTTGACCATAAATCAAGTGTAACCTCCATCTTGGAGGTAGAGGTCCAGGTTTGCGCATGGCACATTATCTTATTGTAACAAACATGTGTGCAAAGTTATTTCAACTTCCTTTGATAAATCACATAGTCATGGACCGGACACGAAAGAATGACGGACGGACAGACGGAGCCTATTTCTGTATCCCCTTTTTTTCTTCGAAAGGCTTGAACCTACGAACCTTAACTATAAAAGGCCAAATGCCCATTGACAAAAACTTGTAAACTTATCCGAAATATCGTCAACAGGTAATTTTTTACTTTCAATTTCTTAAAACATAATTGTTAATATGTAAAATATGTTTATTTTACTTTTATATCTTTAGATTTATTCAATTTACGTCGACTGTAACTCGAGTCAGGTGCACGAACAAATGTCGATATTTGAGAAATTTGAAATAGATAATTTGAAATGGATAATTTTGTGACTGTTATGAATCTAGGTTTTTAACAATTTTAAGATAAAATTTAAAACTTTAAACAGTAACCTTTAGTTCGTTCACATTATACATTTCTGGCAGATATTATCCAACCAACGTTCCATGTCATTAAAGGATAAACTTTCTAAATATAAAATAAAAGTCGTTGTCAATGGACAGTTCTTGCAAGCGAACTGGTAGAAATTTTACATTAAATTTGCTTAATTTTGTGTCCATTCCAACAGCAATAACAGTATTTTGATTAGATAAATAACCGAGATTAATATCGTAAGAAGTCAACGCATTTAAAAGGGTGGTCATTTTAGCCATCAAAACTGCGAAATGTAATCCTATGTTTGTGTGTTGTCTGTTTTATTATGCTCCTCGAAGGGTGAGCATATAGTCGCCGCTTTGTCCGCCCGTCCGTCTGTCCGTCCGTCCGCTATTCTTGTCCGGACTTAACTTTAAAACAACAAGAGGTTTCAACATGAAACTTTGTAGGAAGATAGATCTCATTGAGTAAAAGTGCATTGCAATGCAAAAGAACCATAACTCTGTCTTGCCTAATTTTGGAGTTATTGTCCTTTGTTCATTTTGCACTTTGAACACTCCCCGGGACATTAATCTAAAACTATAAGAGATATCAACATGAAACTTTGTAGGTAGATTGATCTCATTAGATAAAAGTGCAGTGCAAAAGAGCCTTAAATCTGCCTTGCTTAATTTTGGAGTTATTGCCCTTTGTTCATTTTTACACTTTTAATTTTGTGACAACTCTGACACTACAAGAGGTATACTTCCTGTTTTCAAACCTTTTCGGGGAGCATCACCCGTTTCTTCTTTCACCCGGTTCTTGTTGTTGACGGTTTCATTGTGATAGATAAATAGTTTACTCATATAAGACGTGTACAAAATGCACCGTGTCACAAAATACATACATTCAAATATAAATAAACACCGCGTGATTGTGCTTTGTATTACATGGAGCGAAAAATATGACGTCATACACATAAAATCTGTATCAGCGATAAAGTAAGTTTACGGTTTGGTGAGTCGGTAAAATGTCTTTCGTGTAGTTAAAGATCTATAAATCACTTTAAATCCCTAAATAAGCTTTTTCGTAACTGTTATAGTTATTCTAAATTAATTTGAATATTTATTGCAGATGTGTTTTCACCTGAAATCTATGTTTGTATATACTGACGAAAAAAGTTAATAATACGCACGCCGTCGTGTTACCACGTGTTCGTTACGAGAATTAAATCAAAAGAAGGGACGAAAAATAACTTTAAAAATGTGAAAAAGAATAAAGAAATAGGAATATGTAAATTATCAAATATTTACTTTAGATTCATTCGGTGACGTTAAATCTCTGATAATATTACCATCAAGGTGGCACAAATCGATCAACACCAAGAGCTTAAGGAATTGTGGGCATGGACAGGAAACAATTCTATTTGGTTTTCCTTCTTAAATATAGATCGTCAGTATGATTTCACTTGTCAACCATATGCACACTGTTTAAGTTTAAGGTTATTGTCAATATACGGGTATTTCTACATTCATTTATTAAATGGCAACAAAGGCCATCAATAGAACAGATGATCCATATCCCTAATGATTTATTACGATACTGTGCGTTCCACATTGAGATATAAAGATCTTTGATAAAAATTATCATAAATAAGGTGTATAGCCAGATTCGAATTAGATAAGTAAATAGCGATCTTGGGAATTGACCACTACCATATCGCTTTCAGAAAAGCCGGGATCGTATTTATCACACACAGTGCCCGGGTATTGGTAATAGATACCAAATGAGTTATTTTTATTTTTAATTATGTTAAGTAAATCTTATAACGCGCCATTTCTTTTAAAAACTAGCAGCATGTCAACGAGCAAAGTATTCAAATAACTGTAAATGGAAAGTATTAGATCATAAAGTTGTACAATGTAAATATTCATGTTAAACAGAATTTGCGGTTAAAATGCAAATTTGTATATAAAAAGGTTAGTTATGTGCTAACATTACAGCATAAAATATAACACATTCAAGGGGCCTTTACATATCTTCAGAGATATACAAGACACTTATTAAATATGGCGCAATGACTTGTCGCATTTATTCATTTGTTTAATTTGTGTTATAATGGCCCAAGTTAAGCCGTCGCATTCAGTGCTTTCAGCGCTTTGATCTATATTGCAGTGTTAACGATCATATCATCAAATTAAATTCAATGACAAGTTTCTCATGGAACTTAAAACGTTTCATTATCACACTGGCCATAGCTTTCGCAAAAGCGGTGGGTCCATCGCAGCGGCGGTGGAGTATTCGTCGCAGAAGCGGTGGATAAAACTTGGCCGTTTGCTGATGTCGATCAGTATATGACTGAATTTTGTTTTATGTTTTAATGTTTTACTTGAAACACTTAGTGAGACTGGAGCCCACATATGTACTCTTTCAACCTAATACACGCACACGGTGCAATTCATTGCCGTTTATGCAAACACTTCTGTAGAGTTTGATGAGGGGACGCCACTTTTGCCTAATTTTGGTTAAAACACATACAAATATGTGTAAAACGACCCCTTAATACATCGGCATCACATCGAATGAATGATACTTTAACAAATTAACCATAAGTTGGAAAATTGGGAAATTATTATTGCCTGTTTATAAAATAAATGACAAAAAATGTTTTCGTCGCAGACGGCGGTGAATTTGATTGCAACGCAGTGCAGTGGGTCCGATACCATTTTTGTATATTTTAAGAGTTTAACTTGACGTAACGCACTTTTCAATTGAGTACGGTCCTTTTCTTACTTTGACATCTGAGAAAACGTGTTTATTTGATGTTTAAAGCGACACCCGGTATACAAATATGATAATATACGGAACAGACATACAAAAAGGAACGTCACCCTGCATATAACAACAAATAATTTAACGGAGCATTCTACAAGACACTGAATTGAACAGACGACAAGACGCCTAATGGAATCCAGCAATCAACAGACAAAAGACGGCTACCATCGATAACCGATAAGAGCAGCACTAACGTAATACGCAAAACATATTATACAGACATCAAAAAGACAGAACAGAACATACAACAACAAATACAAAGACCTAACGGTGTAGTGCACGGAACGGAAAACATGGACCAGGATGCAATTAACGGGAACGAGGAATAGCAACATAACGGAACAGACAACAAAAGACATCCTAAAAGGAGCGTGACAAATACTTAACGGAGCATTCTACAAGACTCTGTATAGAACAAACGACAAGACACTTAATGGAACCCAGATATCAACGATACAGACAAGAGAAAATACTTAAACGTAAGAGGAAACAAGAACAAAAGCGGGAAACAAGAGAAGAACTAAGGGAATACATTAACAGATAGCAAACACATAACGTTAACGGAACATACAACAACAAAGTGAGCAAAATGAGCACACATGCACAAACAGTGAATGATTGTATACTTTACAAAACAGACAATTAACTGTAAACAAACAAGAGAAAACAAAAAGGATCAGAACAATATAGACAACAAGGTACATAACAAAAAGGACAGAAAGATAGGTACTTGTCTGCCTGCCTGTAAATCAACTGGTTTAAAGTTCGATGCTACTCCACTAGATAAGAATGATAGCAAGTTCCTAATGGAACATACTAAAAGGGATTTTACGGGAAGATAGCAAAGAGTTAACGGAACATTCCACAAACGTAAACTAACAAGAATATACATCAGGAAACAAGACACACACCGGAACAACCAAAAGAGACTTAATGGAACTAAACACGAGAGAAACACGAGATAAGACTTAACAGGACAGCCAATAA